ACCTCCAACAATTACACATAGAAATGAAAAGCAGAACAACCTGCAATAATTATGCATAAACTTAAGAGTGCATCCCCTGTGGATGTCTATTCAGCTAAGTGCTACTGATTTCAAGTAGGATTTGCTCCAAGAAGAGGGGGCACAGAAATTGCAGATTCAATATGCACAGTGACCATTCATAGCACCAGCAACTAATTTCATTTATTAATATACTCTATCTTTTTTCCCTTTTGCAAGGAACAAATGGTGACTTGCATAAACCTTTGCTCCATTTTATCCTCATGACAGCTCTTTGAGGTTTGTTAGGCCAAAAGTCAATGACTGATCCTCCCAGTCACCCAGTCAGCTTCATGGCTGAGTGGGGAGCAGAACCCAGACACTGTTCAATCATTTAGTCATTAAACCACATTGGTACTCATTGACGATAACTTAAACTTCTTAGAAGTACTACAGTAACTAACATCTGGAATGGGATTAAGCAGCAGCAGCAGCAGCAGCAGCAACTACTAGTTATCTCGATGGACTTTAACGTTGATAGAATTAATGGCACAGAAATGAGTTCTGAGCCAAAATGGCAGATTGTATAATATTTGAGATGTCTCCTGTCTGTAGAGAAGGTAACACTTGGAGAGTTCTCAGGACAGGACAAATCCAAAGGTCAGGAAACAGCATTAATTTATGTGGTAACAGTACTGTGCATATCTCAACTGGCCTTATGAAACCCGCATATGTGCGCTTCTATAGCAAAAGTTCCCTGCTCCACCCACTCCCTGCCAATATACGACGAAAAAGAGGAGTCCTTTCCAAGTATAAACTTCCATATTAGTGTAATACGATTTTTGTTCCGACCTGACGTTTACCAAAGCTTTCCCACAACCTACTTTTTGTAACTTGTCTGATGAAGAGATTGGAGAACGTGAAAGAGCGCGCATTTTTCGTTAACGTTGGGTTGCTCGATAAAAGTATTACACCAGTGTGGATTTGGGGATTTTTGCTTAAGGCCGTAAGAGCTACCTTTGCTCTGCGTAGGTCAAAGTAGTGCAGGATTAATTTTACTCTTGAGCCAGTGCGCGGCCCCGACCCGGAGCTTCTGTGTGGGGGATTTCGTGCTTTTAAAATCAGGATCCAGCCTTCTACGTCCACTCTAGAGTAAAAAATAAGGCACCTACTATTCAAACGGAGAGGTGTATTGTTAGCCAGCAACGGTGAGAGGCCAATTCTAACGCTGCGGCTAGTGACGGTCGTGCGGCTGGAACACTGCAAGGCAAAACCAAGAGGTTGGCCGATGCCCCGCTGGCTCGCAGCGACGAAAGGCGGCTTTTGGCAGCAGCGCTTGTAGCGAGCACCTCATGCCTGAAGGGGGCAGCCGAGAGTAGGGGCGTAGTGATCGAGCCATTCCCCGCCGTCCTCTGTGACGTCAAACGGGGGTCTCCAGGCAACCGGAGTGCAAACAGCGCGCCGGGGCTTCCTCTGGCCTGGGCAGCGCGGAGGGCGACCGGCCGGGTTCGGGCAGCAACACCAGCCCCGAGGCGGCGGGACCGGCGCACTCATGGCGCTACCGCTGTTGCCCGGGTACTCGTTCAACAGGAATGTAAGTGGCGTTGGCTTGGTTCCCGCCGCCCTCCGGGGCTCCCCGAGTGGATGTGTCTTCCCCGCCCCTCAGTTTTCACAGCCTTCCTCGCGGGTGCTTCTCCACGTGTGCGTGTGAATGGAGACCGTGTGGGGGAAACCGGCTCCAGATAAGCAACAAATGCTATCCCTTTCTACCACAAACCAAACCCACAGGTATTACAGCTTTCCCCTACGTTGTGCCTCTGGCTGAGTTGGACTATAGCTCCCACAATCCCCAGCCAACATAGCTGTTGTAGGAATTATGGGAGCTGTAGTCCAACCCTTTTTCAATTTTGCGGAACATGTCCATTCCCTCTTCAGTTCGGGTCCAAAACTTCTGTAAGGCTATCATATATTGTAGAACTCCTTTCTCGAATTCCTGGTTTCATCATGAAGCTGGGTCTGGCCTGCTTAGCAAAGGGACTGAAATCTCACGTTGAGATCCTTTCATTTCAACAAATGTGAGTCAGGGGTGTGCACACTTGGAAGGTGCAAAGTGGGAAGATGAGGGGAGAGCAAGAGTAGAAGAGGAGTTGCCTATTCATTGCTTTCTTTCACAGCTCACCCCTCCTTAACTTAAAGTATTCCTTTTCTCATTGCACATGACTTCCTCTTTTATTCAGTAAGTTTCCCTCTATCCAGGCAAATCTCTATAGTTTTCTTGTCCATTGATACCAGGGAAGGGGAGTGTATGGCCCTCCAGATGATATTGAACTGTAGTTCTCACCAGCCTTTAGCGCTGTCAAGGCTGGCAAATGCTGAAGGGGATAGGAATTGCAGTCTTAACAACACCTGGGCAGCCGCATTTTCCAGACCTGAGTCTGTACACACTGACTGGCACTACTACTCCAATATCACAGGCAATGGTCTTTCTAGTCTGGTTGCCTGAGATCCTTTATGTATTAATATGAGATAAGCAGCATGGTGTCCTCCAGCTGTTTTGGACTCCACTTCCCATAAGCTCCCACCAGTGTGGTTGCTGGTCTGGGCTGGTGTGTGTTGTAGTCTAAAACATCTGGAGGGTGTAGATTGTCTGTTATTTACCTTAAGTATGAATGACATTCCATTTTTTAAAAAAAGCAACCGAGTTGCATTATTACCAATGGGAGTGCGTCATGCAATCTTCAAGGACAGCTCCAAAATGTATTAAAAGATGGGCCCAGGACTATATCTTGAGATAAAGACTTAGCAGTACGGTAATTATTTCCAGGAGTATGTAATTAATCCATTCAGTAAGGACTAATTTTAAACTCTTCTGTTTTGCCTGTAAACTTCAGTTCTGGATATTGATTGTTCTGAGTATTTATTGTCACTTTTTTCCTGAAGTTCATTGGAAGAAGTTTTGGAAGAAATGTTGCTTTTCTAAATTCTTTCTAACAGACTGTTATTATATCTCTTATTATATCTGCTTAGCAGCATGCATTGTAAGGAATTGGTAGGTGTTTGCATGTGTTTCCACAGGCACCCTGGTGATGGATTGTTAGCTTGGCAGAGTTTACCATCTTTCCTTTGTTGTTTGTTGTTATGTGCCATCAATTCATCTCCAACTTATGGCCACCCTATGAATGAATGGCTTTGGGATCCCACCTCCACATACAGATGCAATATGCCTCTGCATATGAGATGATGCACACAAGTAACCGGGGAAATGTAATATTCGGGTACTTTTTATGAGTGTGCAGAGGCTTTTGTTGGAAGGAGAATAGTCCAGTAAATGCCCTTTGCCTCCTCCAGATTTGTTAACAATCAATCACGATTCCTAGTTAAGTGATGAACTGATTTTAGCCAGTTTTATGATGCATGAGAACACTTGCTCCTTAACAACTAGTGAAAGAACCCAGCTTTGTGTGTGTTCAAAAAGACAGTACTGAAGTCTTTTTTTTCCCAGGAAATACAGTGAAGTCTTCAGGTAACCTTATGCAGGGGACTGAATTAAAGGCATATGCCTGCCCTGTCAAAGTGCAAAGGGAGGGGTCTCTCCATTGCATTCTTTTGGAGGGAGGCTGCCTCATAGGCATATATCTTGGCCTCCTAATGTGGCTACTCTTGCCTTCTTATTTGCTCCCATTTTCCTTATTTTTCACTTCTGTCATCTCCAAAATTATTATGGATACAACTCTTACTGACTTTTCCCCTCCTGTACCCTCACTGGCTAGTAAGCTTAACCTACTGAAGCAAACCCCCCTTTCTGTTCAGTGAATTCTTTGGTATTTCAGTACTCAATTTCAATTTCCTCTATAAATTTCGGCTTAAGGGTTTCTCTAGATAATGAGGTCAAAGCCCCCTGCCACTTCTTACTCTTGTAGAATAGTTTTGCAAGTGCTGTTTAAAAGGAAGTATTGCAAATCCAGTTCAGATGTAGTGGACAGGGAGTCAACTTTGCTGTTGAGCATGAGGATTATCATGCTGATTCATGTTCCTTGCCTTTTGTAAGTTAATCATATGCACCGAAGCACACAAAAGGGCTGCAAAGAGGGCATTTCAAAGAAACTAAAAGTAAGGGTCAAACTACAGCAGGCTTAGTGCTGGCACCATTATTTATCTAGGAAAGCGCCCATATAGATCATGGTAGGAGCAGTGATATGCCTGGAGGAAGATTTTAATCCTTTCCTCCCTGAACTGATTTCATGCTGAAAATTGCCCCTCCTCTATGGTTATTAGCTTTCAAAAGTGCTATTGCAATAAAGAAACTCTTCATCCTGATCTATATTGGACCCCTACATGGACTCTTTCAAAAAGAGGAAATAAGTGGCCAACACTAAATATGCTTAACATACTGTAAGCCGGTTAAAAGCAAAGTATGGAGAACTAATTTCACAACTTGAGCTAAAATGAAGGGAAAGTTTGAACGCTCCTTTGCTGAACTGGTGGTGGTGAAGAAATTTTACTTCAAGCTTTGCCAGTTTTAGCTCTGGTGCAAATTCCCTCTTTGCAGTTATGAATAAGATTCCCATAATTTTATTGGTTGTGAATAGGTTCTTGAGAATATGCAAAACTTCAATGGCAATAGAGTTGGGCGCTAGTATTTAGCAGTCCCAAATTTCCTTAGTACTATAGATTTCAGTATACTGCTCCTATTTCCAACATAAATGTGTACAGCATTTGATGTTTGTATTCATTTCCTCTATTTTTGCCAAGGGTACAGCTCCATTAATTTTCATTTACACCCAGGAAGTAGATGAATTGTTCAGCAGATTTGTCCAAAGCATCATTCTTTGTAGAGAAATTAAAATTGGTTTAAAGTTGCTTTGGCATTATTTTTTCAAGATTAACACTGTTTTTCAGATTTTGAAAAGCACTAATTATTTTAATTCTTATACTTGCCACTTTAAAGATGTTATTACATATTTTGTTTTCTAAAATGGTTATTTAATTCATCTTTATTTCAGCTAGGGAAAGACAAATTCCATAAATCGCAACACTGGAGTTATTGCAATAAGGTTTCTATGTTGGTGGGCGAAGACAAGCCCGGAATAGGAGGTGAACCTTTGCTTGGACAAAAGCTGAAACCGAAGTATAGTGTTTTTCCTAGAGGTGTTGGGTGTGATGCACCTTCCTGGATAGCATTTGATAAACAGGTACATTGAGTTCAATTCGTTTGGTTGGTTGGCTGCATTTTATCCTACTTTGTCCATTGCCTTGAATCCTAAGAGAAGTTGATCAAAGAAAGTTCATGAAAGTCCCCCTCCCCCATCCCATGTTGTCTTCAAAAAAGCCTCTTTGAAGGGTTGAAGCCAGCCTTCTGGACAATCAGAAGAGATAGTCCAGGGACTAATTTAATGTGCAATCCTATGCAAATTGAGAGAGAGAAAGACCTGCAAACCCCAGCATGCTGTAGCATGCCCAGCCATGTCCAGACTTGCATAAGGTTGTGCCCTTAGCATCATAGCTAAGAGTTGGAGCTTGTAAGCCCCCAGTTTAAATGTTACCTTAGCTATTAATGAATTTAATAGTCTTAAGCACACCACTGCTTCTCAGTCTTGGCCCATCATTTACAAACTCAGGATAATAACGATCTACCTAAAGGAATCATTGTAGGTTCATTTACACACTGGCTGCATTAATTGCAGGTTTTGGTCTGTCATTCTCATGTCATCTAAAGCTACTCATTTACCTGGGTGTATAGGATTGTACTGTTGGAATACTTAGTTTAAGGGCTTAATATTCCAGCATTTTAAAATATGCAGTTCATAGAAGGGTGACATTTTTAAAAGGTTTTTTTGCCCCTGTTCTGTAGATGCTTGAAAATTTAAAACATAGACTTAAGCTCAATAGGTGAGGGTGTGAATATATTGCACTTAATACATAAAATACTGCTCTTTTTTCCATTGTAATCCTTGCTAAAGAAGGTAATACTTGCAGCACAATTTACAAAGTGCCTTGTATTTAAATAATTTCCCAGTCTGTGAAAACCAGTGGGGCAGAATCAACATCAGTCCAAGTACAATTAGTTAACTGGACTGCAGATTAAGTTGGTAAATAGTTAAGTCACATAGGGGACAATTAATGCTTGAAAAATTCCCTTGTAAAATTTGTTCATCAAATTATACTGTCCGAGCTAGCCAAACATAATGCAAGTTCCAGAGTGTTCCGTACAATTTGGCTAATCTCTGTTTCCTCTTTCTCTCTCAACCCCAAATCCTGTCTTTTAGACATATCTGCTAATTTTATTTAAAGAAAAGGGATAAAGCATTAGTATGTGCATGTATATGCACACATGCATCCCATTGCAGTCAAATACCAGCCTGCTGGTGAGATTTTGTTGCAGAAGTATATGCTTGCAAGAAATGGGAAAACCGACAGTTTAGGAATCTGAATGTTTAATCAGTAGTGCTTCTTTCCCTGCTAATCTGAAAATTCTTCTTGCTGAGGATTAAAACTGTTCCTTTTTGATATTTGTAGTGTTATCTGCACAATCAGTGTTTGTCTGTGTACAGCCTATCTAATTAGGAGTTAAATCTGCTCACTAAGGACAACTTCAGACAAGACATTACCTGCATTACTTTCTCTTGCCCCCATGGCTGCTGGCACTTTGTCCTGGTAGCAGAGCAGCTTGGGCATCCTTTCATTAAGGCATGCTAAAGGATTTCTTCCTTTCTGATCATGTGTATGTTTATTAAAAAAATAAATATTACCGTGTTCAGTGGGATTAACCTCCCAAACAATGTGAGGCTTGGACCTGTTTTCAAGAATAGATTGCCCAATGGAAATGGTACAAGCCAGAAATGAACAGAGCTGTGTATCTCAAATATCAGATGGGTTAGACTTAATTGTGAGATCCCACAGAGCTCCCAGTTTTTTGACTAGGGAAGTTGATAGTTCCCTATATTCATGTGATTGACTTTTATAAAGATGCTTAACACAACTCTGGTCATTTCTTGGCTTCCTTCCCTTCATGTTTATTTTTCAAAACAGAAATAGGAACACACAATTATGGATCCTGTCTTTAGAGAGACTTCCATTTTCTTCTGTACCCTAATGCTCAACTTCCTTTCCTTTCTTCAAGAGTGTACAGCAGATATTGGCAGAGCCTTTGAGAATTGTTTATCATATGACCTTTCTTGACAATTAAAAACAGATTTAGTCATAGCATTGTACTTGTTTCACCCACAAACTCAGTGGGTGAACTTATGCAAGCCTTTCTCTTAGCTTATCCATAGTACTGGCATAACAATGTCCACCAGGATTCCTAAATGTAACAGAAAAACATAATATTATTCATATGAAATATTGTTCACAAGCACTGATGGTTGTTTTGCTTGAACAGCCTTTGGTGGCTGAGGCTGACCTGATCACTAGAGGAGTTCTGTTAGGTGCTACATTTTGTTTCTCCTAGCTTTTTCCATATTGGCTTTTAGCCCTTTGCCTAGTCTCTCTTATCTATATTTTGGTTTTTTCAGAGCACAAGTGGGCAACTTCAGGCTTTTAGAACCTGAACCTTGTCCCCATTCGCTGACCCTTAGAGTTCTGTAACCAGAATCTAGTGCAAAATATATCAGGGCAGATATAAATATAGTAGAGTTAAGGAACAGGATGCTTCTGAGAAATTTAATTGAACCAAAACCTTTCACACAAAAATCTGTTCCTTATTCTCTCTCCCCAACCTCACTTTCTTCTAGGTTATAGCAAAACAAAATGTGGAAAAATAAAGGGGGTAGATTTTTCTGTAAAGCACTGTATGACCACAGAATAGCAGCACTGACAACAGAAAAGTATGGCTGCCTCTTCGAGGTCCTGTAATTTCTTTCTTAAAATTATTAGTCATTCAACAAGTGGAACCTAAGTAGTATTTTACTCTTTCACCACCCCTAGTATCATTATATACTCCAATATAGTCTGCACAGTAATTTTTAACAACTTTAGAAAAATTGTAATACTATTTGGAGGATTTTTGCATAAACTGGACATACAGAATTCTTTCCATCTTTTCCATCGTATATGGATGCATGCTTAAAATCCATGAATTAATGTAGAAACAAACAATAATGCTCTTAAATTGCTTCTCTAAGTAATTTTCTCATACTGTTTGTGCTAAATATATATGTTAATATGAGGATTTGGAAAATTAATTGTAAATTCTAGACGGTGTAAGTGTAAAGTCCTAGTAGGAACAATGTGCAACAGTATAATTTGAGAGCTAAAGCTCTGTGTTGAAATCTGACTCTCACATGCATCCTTGATTCGCTATATTGCTTTGTTTCCTTTATATCTCTGTTTAGAACATAGTATATGCTCATTTTTTATTGTTTGTGCTTTTGCATAGGTATTGTCATTTGATGCTTATTTTGATGAAGAAGTTCCTGACAAAAATCAAGAGCTGTATAGAATAAGACACTGTAAAATATATTTCTATCTGGAAGATGACACAATTCAGGTAGTTGAACCCCAGGTGAAGAATAGTGGAATTCCACAAGGTATTTTTATTTACAGATGTTCTGCTCCTCTGTGACCTTTTTTTTTTTAAGGTATATGGTTTCCCTGCCTGATATAATCGTACATAGTATCATTCAATCAAAAATAATGGGCTGCTTTTGGTTTGTGGGTAGTTAATTAACCACAATAGCAACCCACCCTGTGCTGGGTTCATTTTATTTATTTATTTATTATTTATTTTATTTATTTAGAAAATTTCTATGCCGCCCCATTCGCCGAAGCCTCGGGGCGGCTCACAACATAAATCAATTAAAATAATATAAATTAACAATATAAAATAAGTTAACAATATAAAATAAGTCGCCCTAGCCAAACAATAACATAAATAAATACTATTAACAGTTAAAATGACGTTTGAATAAAAAGGTCTTTGCCTGGCGCCAAAAAACAAATAACGACGGCGCCAGGCGGACCTCTTTGGCGGACCCCTATTTATTCAGTTCATCCATGTGCTGCCCCATGACATTAAGTTCTCCGGGCACTAAGCTTCTGTGACCATTCTGAATTTTCAGAATGGCTGCTGCTATGTATAACAGCCTACATTAAATAAGGAACAGTGAGCTCTGGTGATTATGTGAACTAACCTATTAGGTACACTATCAAGTGCAGGTACAACATGAATTCCAGCAGTTTCAATTAGCAGGCAGCTGTGGTTCAGAAACCACTTCAGTATCTTCTAGGCTAATCTGAGTGTTATTGCAAGGACTTGCATATAGGGCATATGAAACTCTGTTCTGTTTCTAGGGATTCTAAATCAGCCTGAATTAAGACTTTTATGTGAAACTTGGCAAAATGTGAAGAGAAATGTTCATTCTTTGTGTGTATTGCAAACTCTGGCAATCCTAAGTTAGTTTTTCACCAACTCTTGGTAAATGGGGTATGCCAGCTTCAGAACCTTTTCCTCTGCTGTCAGAGGGAATGTTTTTAAAGGCCAAAAGGAAAAAAACCCTTAAAAGTGCAAGATATAAATTAATTTAAACAGTGACAAAGTTCATGTAAATTTGATGGGCACTAAACCATAGACTAGAATGAAATAACAGATCAAAATGTCCTTGAATCAAATAAGGATAGATGCTAATGCACAGAAAATGAAAATGGTTGTGCTGGAAATATACATAAAAATATCTCCTTCTCAAAGTCAGAATGTATTAACATAGTGGTAATAAGAAACCTTCCATGTTGGATATACTGTATGGGGAGATTCTTGCATGTATTGTGTAATCTCTTGTTAATTGAACTTTGGCTAACTGATGTTCTCTGATACAAAGAGGTTATGTCTGTCCCTTAGGGTTAACTTTTGTTTTTGGTCTAGCCCACATCCCACAATCCAGAGCACAGTTAAGAAGGAGTTGGCCAGCTTCCCCAAGGTCAGTCAGTTTTAATGGGAGAAAGACACTGCCTGCTGGCAGGCTTCCCTAAGGCCAGCTGGATGAAAAGGAAAGTGCAGTCAGGCGCAGAAGGCCTCAGTCACTTCCTCCAGCTTCAATGAATCATTGATTGTCTTAAGGCGCCCGATGTTCCCAAATTCTTTTGAATAATTGGCTCTGTGAGTACTCATAGTCTAGTTACCCTTGTTGGAAGAGGGCAATAGGGCATATAGGCTATTGGGTGAACTGGAAAAATGTTTTCAAAATCATCTTTTTTTTTTGTTCCACTATTTAGAAACTGCTTTTTCCTCAGTAGGTTTAGATAGTGAATAGCTTCACAGACCTTGGAGTGGAAGTTTTCTGCAAAATTTCATTCAATTTCTTGTCAGAATAAACTCATTTTTGAAGGCTGCTGGGTTAGATAATAGGAATAATAACTTCCACACTTTTTACCTAACCTGGGATTGAGAGAGTGTAGAAGAGATACAAATGTTATGAAATAATTACTGGAAGTATAATGAGAAATGTAGTCTGCATGTTGCAAAATAAGTGCGCAATGCATACTTTTTTCTAGAGTTTGCTTATGGATACAATTGTTTAGGGATCTCAGAGTTTTGGTCCGCTGTGACATGTTGTGCAACAGCATTTTCCCCATTTAGCCTGCTGTTAAGGTTTGTTCAATAAATGGACGCTGAGGTAATGTCTTTTGAGCAAGGCATTATTGCCTCCCATCTTTGCGAGTTGACATCATGTTATTTCTTTGCAGATATAAATGCTTCTGATTTAACTCTGTGCAAAGTAGGTGGAGAATAGATGTAAGGTTTAGAATGAGCTGCATGTAATGGTGGCTTTGCCTTAACAGAAAGTGCTAGTGTTCATTTAAGGCAGTATACTTGATTTTTGTGCCAAATCCTATTCAATTCCTGAGGGTCCACTGATCTGCAGAAGCAACTTGTTAGAGCTTGAAAGGGATTGGTAAAAACAGGCTGAATCTTGAAAGGAATTTAACCCTTTCCCCCCAAAAAAGTGGGCGCCCTAACATGCAGAAGCAGTTCTGCTAAATCAAGGCCACCATTGGATACAGATCAGTAATTTGGACCAATTTGCACATCACAGTAACAAATTGTAGGTTACTTAGTTAACCTATGATTTGGTGCAGTGGCCACAATTTGCTTATTGTTATAGTGCATTGCTTTTTTGATGCTGTTACGTGTTGGATATCTGGTAATGCAGACAATGGCAAATAGATTTTCTGCTAAATACCAGCCATGGCCAACATGGGAACGCCCATCTTGTGAACTAGGGGAGGCCTCATTATAGCAATCATTACTTCTGAACAAATGCAAGAAGAACCAGTTTGCTGGGAAACATCAGAGCACTTTCAGGTACTATTAAGCAGCTATGAAATCACTGTCAAAGAGTAGAACAAGATTTCCATCAAATAAGTTCTTTCTTCCATTTCTGGACATGGTGCAAATGGGCATATTTGCAGAAAACATTTTTTCCATTTTAATTTTATCACTGGATATTTCAAGGTAAGCCTTTCAATGGTAGAATTTTCTGAGTAGTTAGTTCAAGAATCTATGAGTGCAGTTTCACCTTTCTGTTCTACAGATAATAAGTTTATGTAATTGCACTCGAGGCTCATTGAAATGCTTAATTATACTTTCAGTGGTGAACAAACTGTATATTATAGCCTCTTCATCTTTCTGATTTAATGTGCTGTCAGAACCTTCCTGTTTGCATACATTTGGTATAATATGTACTGTTTTCCCATATTTTCTTGTCATGGATGTTGCCTCTTGTTGTAACAAGTTCCATCTGTGAAGTGTAGAAAGAGTATTCCACTTAAGCCATATTTAGGTTTGAATCTTGTTACAGATTTGTTCAATAACTTGATAATAAGCAAATGAGCAAATTCTATTCTTGCTTTGATTTTGGACTGTTTCATATTTTATATTTAAGCTATTTATATTATTCTGGATTAGATAATAAAAGATCTGTCATTCCTTATAATAGGAGATAATGTGAATATATCTGTGTCTTCTACTTCTTTTCATTTTCACCAGAAATTCTTTTCTCCAGAATTGCAGTCCTTTTTCTTTCATTTATTATGGAGAATCCGAACAACACTGTTGCATCCCAAGGTTTTTTGAGTTGTCTTCTTGTTTAAGACTCAGTTTTTAGGTAATTTTTCGGACTTCTCCAAGCTGTCCAGGGTAGACCAGCAAAGTGCTATCTGAAGTCTCTGGCAGGAGGAATGGGCTGATGATGTGGTTGGAGATGTCCTTGCATTTTTTGTTTGCGGTGTTTTTACATGTTCTGTGATGTCATTCCCTTGTCATTTTTAATAGACTTTTGCTGGGGCACTTTTATCTTTTATCCCCTTTATCTAATGCACAGCAGTACATGTTGTTGTTGTTTAAATGAAAAGAAAATGCAATTTCTAGGACAAATTGCAATCATTACTCCACCTTCCTAGGCAAGCTTATAGATGATCTCCTGACTCTGCAGCGTGCCATGATTATCAACAGCAGGAATCTATGTATTAGCACAGGCTGTGATCTGTGCACATTTATATAGGATTTCATTCCAGTGAAATTCAGTTAGACTTCTTTCTGAGTAAATATGTATAGGAAGAATACCAGGAAAGAGAGGTAGGCAGGCACAGCAGTTGCATCAGCTGTGAGGCAAAGGGCACCATCCAGTAAGGAAATAATCACAAGCAGTACTGACGCTTAAGGTAAGTATATTAAGAGAATGGGAATGAATGGCCAGGCAAGAAACAAGTTTTGCTTGGTTCATTTGTAAACTATAGGACTTAGTTCCAAGTCAATGAGCAGACAGCATGGCCAGAACAGCATTGGTTTTAATGGTTACTGAGCCTATTTTAGGGCAAGAACCTCTCTATCAGATTTGTAGGTCATATATGCAACACCATGGCACCCAGTATACAGCTTTGAACAACTGTTTGCCCAAAAGAAAAGTATTACTTCTTAATCTTGCTACAGGAAAATCACTAAGTAGTCAGGTCTGATTTGTGCCAAATCTGCTTTTCTCTAGGGCCATCAGAGAGATCCTTGTCAGTTTCAAGAGCAGATATTTCCCCCTTTATCATGTGGTTCATTTTAGTAGGGAAAATGGTATTATAGTAAATGATCTGCAATTCACAGCTATCATTCTGCTTCTAGATGGTTACAGAATTGCAGTGTTTCAACAAATAGCATTAAAGTGCCTATGCGGGGAAACTATAGTGTTCTCTCTCTATATATATGTATAATAACCAATTTTGTAAGCCTAACGTAAGTTTGGAAGCCACTCTAAGAGCTTCATTCTAAGAGCATTCTAATGAAGCACTGTAAGAGCTTCATTCAGCTAAAGCGTGAGTTAAAATATAATGAACAAGACCAAGAAGTAAAGCATCATGAAATTAACAAATGACAGATACAGTCCACAGTTAGAGGTATCCATTCCTGTGCTCCATTTTGCACACATGTAGTGGCTTGTTAATTAACCAGTGCAGGCTAGTCACGTGCCAGTTGATTTGCATAATTACCTTGGTTGGGGGCAGCGCCTCCCGTCATTCAAACCGAATGAAGCTGGCTTGTTGAGGTGATTAACACAGTACCTAGAATCCTGGTGAAGGGCTGTGGGAAGGTTTGCTAGCCACCTGAACTAGCCGTCCCTGCTGGATGTTGATAACATGAGAAGTGACAGGGCCTTAAATTGGCAACCTGGCACCTGTAGGTGCTGTAACCCACCATGGACAAGCCACAGTAGACTGAGACGATCGTGCAAACCAAGTCTCTGACCAACAGTAGAAAGATTTTAATAGTTTTGATGGACAAGCACTTAACAAGCACTTGGTACCTTTATTCACATAATCTTTGTGTTCCACAATTACATTCTTGGTCAGAGATCAGGAAGGTATATACAAAACTAGGTTAGCTTGTTGTGATTTGTTACATCATCAAGGGATTTAATTTGACTTGTCCATTGTAAAGATTCCAATGCACCTTTGAATTGCATAATTTCATATATACACACCTTTCTATACTATGTTTATAATGAATGCCATTCAGAAAATATTACTAAATTATTTTTACATTAATATACTATCCAATATTAAGACCACTGGAGTGGTTCACAAAATGCAACTTAAACTAGGTCTTTAAGCAAAAAGTTTTGATGTGGTCACGAAGTTCAGCATCCCCATTTTTTTTCCTGAGCCCAGATAAAAATGATGTGTGGAATTCACCAGGAATTCAAATATCTTGTGTAGTGTCTGCTGATTTACTGTATTTTAGTACATATTGCTCAAAAATACAGACTAAGTGCAAGCTGATTTTCTATGTCAAAGCTTTCTTTTAGAACAATAATAGACCACTGTGTTGGGTTTTCAATTTTTCTGGAAGCTTTTGAATTAATCCCATTGCATTGAAGGCCAGTATGAATACCTGTTCACTAAGATCTGCTCATAGGCAGTTTTACAAAACTATATACCAATTTGAGGCTTACTGCTGATGTCTTGTCCAAATAAGTATTTATTGTTTGATAGTTCTGAGACTTCCAGTAATATTGATTTGCTCCTTTACATATTGTTGACAGAGTGCATGAATGATCAACTTTCTGACCATTCATATCTTTATTCTTACTTACCTAGAAACTGAAATGCACTTCTGTTGAGATCTTAAAGCATGACCTATTAGTCTATTTTAATACCTCATTAATGTTTCTCATTAATGTTCCACAAACACAAATGTTATTTTCCTTTGGGAACACAGGCAATCATTCTCTTAATACAACTTAATGCAAGTTATTTATTTGCTCCCTATCATAGAGTGAAAACAGGGTGCTCATATATCTGCAAGGTTTTGCAAGTACTAGGACTGATCGATAAAGCTGGCGGGAGGGAGGAGTGAGGTAACAGTTTGCCCCATAAATGTTACTTCAGTAGAGATGTGGCTGAGAAGTGCATAAAAGGATAAATATGGAAAATGCTGGTATGTAATATGCAGTACTTGAACCAGAACTCTGGACCACATAAGCAAAATCTGCAGGGGAGGAAACCCTTTTACTTCATCTATCTTATACATATTTTATACCTCATCTACATTTTTGTATGCAACTTCTAATAATAATTTCATTATGTTCTGGATACGTATAATAGATTTGATAAATAGCTGTAATATAGGAGTTGTTGTTATATCAAAATCATTAAGGTAAGTGATTCTTCATATCCTTCTCCATCTCCTCACTACTCATGCAGCCCTGGTTCTCATGAAATGACAGCCCATGGGTTATTTTATCCCATCCTGGAGTTATGCTCTCTATGTTTGAATTCATGTTCCAGAATTTTAATCTATGCTTTGTCATTGGATTAAAACTTTGGATTGTTTTCCCCTCAGCAACTCAGATTACTGGGTGCACATGTCATGGAGTACAGCCCAAGAATTGGGTGTTCCTGCATTCTTTTGTAACAGAATACAAAACAGAAGCATGCATTTATTATTTATTTATTTATTTAGACAGCTTGTATGCCGCCCCCTTCGCATAAGCCTTGGGGCGGCTTACAATCATTAAAATCCTGCCTATAAATACAAAAAAAAATACATAGAATAAATAAAATACATAAAATAGTGGAAACAGCCTGATTAGTTTAAAATCAATAAATAAACCTTTGCAATTAAAATAGTGTTTAAATAAAAAGGCCTTGGCCTGGCACTGAAAAACAAATAACGACGGCGCCAGGCAGACCTCTCTGGGGAGCGCATTCCATAGGTTGGGCGCCACCGCGGAGAAAGCCCTCCTCCGAGTACTCACCCTCCTAATATCCTTCACGGAGGGTTCCCGGAGGAGGGCCTCTGCTGCCGATCTCAGGGGGCAGGAGGGCATATATTGCATATATTACTGCATATATTATTATGCAGGAAGCAGTGTGCTTGGTTGCTTCTTCATGATGCTGACCAACTTACTGGTTAAATAAGCTGTGGTTGGTTGTTATGTGCAAACCAACTCACCACAGTACACCCCTCCCCAAACTTTACTTGCATTTGATAGGTAGGACAAATTTTATGTAACCTTCCTTTATTCATGATTGGAATTTTATTTGTGTCTTTATTTATTGGATTAAATAACAACTTTCTATTCTTAATGTTAGGTGCTTTGAGACAACGTTACAGCAATCCTATACATATTTAGCTAGGGCTACTTTAGAGCACACATGTAGAGAACTACACTGTTACATTACAGTTTGGAAAATGTGGTTTAAAACCAAGTTATTCAATTAAAAACTAAACTAAAAGTCATTTGACTAAAGGAATGGTATAAAAATGCTTTAAATAAATAAATGCATAACAAAACAGCCCAATGCATCAGGGAGATTAAGCACTCTCAAACAGAAGGCAAGCCAAATGTTTGCCTAACAAAAGTCTTGATTTGCTGATGAAGCACCAAGAAATGAAGCAACAAAAGTTTCATGCAGCAGGGAGTTCTACAGATTGGATGCAACTGTGGGGAAGGCCAGAGAATGCATACATGAATGCACTTCTCAGAGCCAAATAAACATACCTTTATGAATGAAAATACCAGGTCAGGAAGGCTAGGCTAAATTCTCTAACATGCTCATTTTATATGTGGAAAGAGTGTGGGTAGGTGGATAAAGGATTCAGGAACATGATTCTGTTTCTGTAGCCTGACATGGTACAGGCCTGAAAGAGCCTCCATAATTGATTCTTCAAATGTACGTTGGCCCTCACTGGTTTTGGAAGTTAAGATGGAATTTCTGCTTAGCTTAAGACCACATTTGGGTTCTCAAATTTTCCACTGAAGAATGGCATTTTTCATATCAGTAACACTGGTGTAAATAACAAATAATATTTACTGTATTTTTCCTCAACACAGGAACTCTTCTTCGGCGTCATCGGATTCCACTTCCGCCTCCTAATGAAGATCAGTTCTATACTATAGATTATTTCAACCTCGACACAGATATCATCTTTTATGGTCAACGATATAAGATTATAGATTGTGACCAATTCACCAAAAATTTTTTGAGGAAGATGGGAGTTCGAATAAATCCTTCAGTTAATCGTCCAGATGATCCCTATACCAAAGAACGTCAAAAGGTTAGTTGCAAAACTGCTAGTAGATGAAACTCTTGGTTGCAATGCAAAATCATCATCATCATCAACATCAATCAAAATCTTTATACAGAATATAAAGGATTAAAAAAAAAAACCTCTTCTCATATGAGAAATTTCCAGTGCAGAGTTGTTTACAAATACTTTTTTATTTTGGAAGAAAAACAAATTCAGAATAGTTCAAGTAAAAGGCCTATATAAATAGATAACACGTTACAATAAACATTTTTGCATGCTTCCCTAATTGAACATAATTTGTAACTGCATATTTTCTGTTTTAGATCAATGAAAACTCATGCTCTTGGTTCATCTGTTGATGGATGAAATTGTACAGATTTAATCTGCTTTTAATGTCTTGTGCATCACTTCAGATAGTAACTAGCAGTCATTAAGCAGCTATGTGAAATCCCAAGCATTATATGATAGTCTTAATCTTGTATGCAAATAAACATTGCATAGTAATCAAATGAAAACCAAATGCTATAAAAGTAGGAAAAATGCCTTTAATATGGTGATATGTGGAAGTCTGCATCACCAGCATTGCAAAGTATGATAGGCTGCAAGACACCATTTGTCTATAATTTGGAGTAATTGATGCCACTACCTGTGTCCTTGAATAACCTTTTATGTCCTGAATATGTGGGGATCCAGGCCAGTTCACTTATGACGTATAATAGGCCCCTTCAAATGCCTGAGAAACCAGGTTACCATGCATACCAAATGGTCTAGACACATGGGATTGGGCCAACTTCCAGCCTAACCAAAGAACTCAATCAACTGTCTTCAACTAAATGTATTTATTGAACAACCAAGAAGGAACTGCCAGGAAAAAAAGAAATGATTAGTTGCTCTAAAATAGAAAGAAACATGAAGCTGTGATAATTAGGATCCTAAGAGTAACTTGGCAAAAGGGTTTATTAGGGGTGCAGGTAGCCAGTGAGAGAAAATGCTGTGCCTTTTTGCCAAGGCTGGGCAATTCCCAGAAAGGGACATTCAAATGGAACAATGAATAATATCCTGGGTGGACCAGTTAATATATCCTCCAGGTGATACTTGCAGGTACCTTCTAAAGGGATGAGTCATAGCATGTGAAGGGAGAAAACCAGCCTCAAATTTGTAGCAGTGCAGATTTTTGGTTTCTAAATGCCTGGTCATATCTGGTCATGTCCTTTGTTCAGAGGTGCTTCTAGCAACAAATGGGGGTGGGGGGAAGGCAAGGTTCATCACAAATATATTTTAGTATTGGAATTTGGTGTCTTGGCAGTAAGCTCTACTGAAGAGAGTAGGACTTAAGTTCTAAGTGAATATGCAAAGGATTTTGAAACTGTTTTTCTGCAGATTTATTTATTTAACATGTATGATTTACATTCTCTGCCATGAATATGGCACCCAGAGTGGTGTCAAAACATTCAAAACAATACCAAATCTCCCTGGAAAAGCAGTGTGATTGTAGCTGTGATCATCTGAAAGTTTTGGGCAAAAGTGTACATTATATTTGTACATTATTTTGCAGCCCCTTGAGGCCTTTCAATTGATTTATGGTAAAAGTCTTTGCATCTTGTAATTTAAGCTCCCCAAAAGTTTTTCACGACTGGTTATATATACAGATCTGTGCTTTTTTGAAGATTAAAATATTTATTAATTCAGTAATAAATGTTACTAATTGGCAGACATGCATCTCATGTTCTTATAAACACCATTTACAGCAACCTTCCCCAACCTATGTACCTTCCAGACATGTTTGGACTGCAACCCCCAGAATTTGCCCTGCTGCATGGGAATTCTGGGGATTGCAATCCAAATGCCTCTGAAGGCCACCAGGTTGGGGAAGGGTTTACAGAGAATAGCTTAAACCTTGAGGTGTGTACATTTTTATGGGGAAGGTCTCAAGCAAATCATCCTGAGGGTCGACTGATACGTAACATCCACTTTTTAATTGTCCCTTGAAATCCTAAGAGTATCCTTGACACTTAGGATAACCTCACCACATAAATATTTAAGTGATACAAGTCAATATGATTGAACTGATGAAGATATAAAATGTAGTCCCATGTTCTGGATTCACCATACATACTGGAGGAGTTGCATACTGTTTGCAGGATTGTTGGAAAGAGGCTAAGATCCTAGGGAGGCAAGGAAACTGAAGATTAATTGAAAAGAAGCAGAGGAAGGAATTATTAGCAGTGTGTAGGGAGCTGACAGCCCACCAGTGGATGGCTATGTGACAGAAAGAAGGCATAGCAGAACACTTTTGGTGTAGAAGCAAGAACCTGAGGGAAAGATGGGCACAAGGCATGGCACTGAAGTTGGTGTTTCTATGAGAAACAAGAAGAATGCTGAAAATTCTCATTGTGATACAAGCTAGTGATAGAAGGAATATTCTATTTGTATTATGGTGTGCAGGCACAAGCAGCTGCTCAGTTCAGTGGGAACTCAAGCTCAGATAGTGAGGATGAGATTGTTGTGGAATCTCAGCATGTCCAGGCAGGAGACCAAGGTCAGGGAATGTCTGGGGGAGGAATTGGCAGTTCAAACTGAGGCAAGCCTAATAGGAGAAAAGGACAAGTTTGACAGTTTGTGCTGGTGGAAGCCCTGGTCTACCAATTCGTGGGGAAGATGTTGTGCTAGAGGCTGGGCATCTTTTGCAGCTGGGGAGTGGGGATAGAGAGCTCAGTAGTTTGTTGGACATAGCAGTCCCTTCTCCTGAGGAGGTGGACAAGAAAGGGTTCCAGGTCATGACTGAAAATTGTGCATATCACAAGGGTTCTGAATTATATTTCAGAATATTACAGGAGAGGGAAGGAAGCAGAGGTCCTGCAGACCAGAGAGGTGGGGAGATTGAATGTGGAATATGTGTGAATGTATGTGTCTAAGAAAGTGAAGGATTGTGGAAAGGTCTTGGAGGGACAACAGTGAACTGTAGCATGGGGACTGAAGATGGATGCAAAAGAGGAAATGAAAAGGAAGAATTCATCTGGCAAAGTCCAAAGTAACTTTGGGGTGGGGGGAAATGGTGAAGAGGAACAGGGAAAGGAACAAGTGATTATTGAGGAAAAAGAAGGGCAGTAGAATGAGGGAAGAGAAAGTAAGATGAAAAAGGAAAGGAATAATTGGGCAAAAGATGTGAGAAATGTGGAATTGGAGCCAGCAGCGCATATGGAGATGAAAGATGGGACATCATTGGTGGATAACAGAAGGAAGCAAAGAGGAAAAAGAAGAGGAAGAAGGGGGATGCATTGACTGGTGATTGAAACTCATGGAAAGTGGGAAAAGAGCACTTTCTGGAGCGGTACATATGAAAGTGGAGTTTAAAGAAAGTGAATGGTAGGGAAATAAGTTGGAAGAGGCACAGGCAAAAAGCACCCAAAATTTTCCCTACTATGACTTCCCTATAGCCATAAGTTGAGCTGCTATGATGTCAGATGATATTCTCATATATGTTTATTCCAAAATGGAAAAATTAAGTCATGAATTGTTGAAAGTCACTGTAGCATGAGCCAGAAGAACTAGAAGGCCAGTATGGGATGGGAAAAATCATACACAGTGGCTGGGTCACATGAACAGGTGAGGAAAGGTGAGGCCTAGAATATATATTGGGATGCAAGATAAGCTGCTGAATGCTTGCCACAGGCCTCTAAAACACAAAACTGTACAAAGCATCCTCATTATATGAATTTTTCCTTAATGCCTCCCCCATGCCTCTATATGGCCCCTTTTAGTACCAACTTATTCAAATTGTTTTCTTTCTGGTCCCACTGAATGATTTGGGAGTCATTTTTTGTGCTGAATGAGGTTGTGATGTATTCATAGCAAGTTTGTTTTAAAGCCTTGAAGAGAAACATTGTGATAAATAGATACTCCAGGGAGAGATTAGGTGGAATAAATCTATTGAATTGACATTTCTTGGCCAAGCTTAACCTGTTTTCTGCATTTTACTGAAGACCATCAGTACCATTTGTCAAAACCCCTGCTGTAGTTTAAATCATTGAAATGAATGTGCAGGAACATTATTGTTTCTTTTCGTAATACATCTTGGAACAAGTGCACCACTACCCCTTCCTTTAAAAGGCAGATTTAATTGGGATCTTCTTGAGTTAAGCATAAATACACTATAGTAACTTTCAGATTCATTTAGTACCAGTTTTCTTTGTTATCATTTGTCCTCTCCTATGCCTGTATTACAACTTGTTTGCAAGACAGCATGAAACAAGGGAGAAAAATAGAATCAGAAAGAAAAAGAATATAGCTTCTTTTGTCTGTTGCAAAAATAAAGACGTGAAGACAACACAGTGTAAATGATAGAGAACAAGCTACATAAAATAGGCTGATATTCCCTTAAGTGGATTACAGTACAATCTAATTAATACATGTCTACTCAGAAGTAAGTTCTATGGCATTTCATGGGACTTCTTCTCAGGTAAGTCAGTATTAGCACTGCAGCCTTAATCTTATTTTTCCTCCGGTCTCTAGAGGCAGAAATTGTGATGGAACTTTTTTTAGTTTAGCTGCATACAACAACTATTAGGGAAGCTACAAATATGTCTATTTATATTGCTATTGGTATTTGTTTACCATACTTGGTGTTTTAGCAGACATGTAAAATAACTGATTGGGAATGTATATCTTAAGCCCAGCTAAATCTGACAAATATAACAGTGATCTGTTCTCCAGGAGTATGGTTGGATCAGACTATGGCAGATTTAGAGAATCATTAATCTCTCTGTCATTGTGAAACAGCATTGTAGAATCTGATTCCTCCAAGAACATATTTCATTGAGGAAGGAGTGACATCTATGGCTTAAAAGACAGTTGGTCTTATTATCATCAATGTTTGCCATCAAAAGCTTTTAGCTCTGTTACTTCCTTCTGTCATTTTATTTTATTTATACTTTATTTTTATCTTGATCGTTATAACAAACCAATTTTTCATCCATTCCCTCCTAACTGGATCTTCTGGTCATTTCCCCTCTTCCCTTTCACCAAATGCCTTTTCCACCTCTTTCTTACTTCAGCACCTTACTTCCTCCTTAACTCCTTTCCCAGTCCCCCTCCCACTAACTCCCCCTGCTCTTTCCTCTGTGATGTCACAGTGTCTGAAGTAAGTGTTCTGAAGAAGCAACAGGATTCTTTTTGCTGTGTGCTTTTCTCTCTTCCTTCCTTTACCCAGTTTTAGCTCACTGTAACCCAAAAATCATATTTTAGCCTTCTGAAGGTAAACAAAGCTTTTTATACCACTTGGATGAAAGCTATGGTTTCTATGTATGCCTTTCCATTTATCTGTTTCTGTTGCATTGCTATGTTCTTCCAGCTCCATCTGTGAACAGCATTTTCTTCTCTCATTCTCTTTCCTAGTTTCCACCCCACTGTGCTCTGGTTTGTCCTTGTCCTTATTATCTCTACTCTTGTCTTAGGCTATTGGATGTATCATCCATTCCTGTTTCCACAGAGGAAATATTGCCATACCTTTCCCATATTTCTTTGACATGCACCCTCATAGCCGAGTCTTCCACATATTTTGGCTCTCTTCTGTCTGCCACCAGCTGCCTTGCTTCTTCTTATTTAACCTTATTAATAGACTAAATCTAACAAGGCAATATTTTTAAGATACAGTGACAGGTACATTTGAGAAAAGGCACAACCCCCATTTTGTTGGTAAGTTAAAAGTCCAGTTGGGCAGAATGGTAGATTTCCAGATATTTTGGAATTCAACTGCCAGCATTCCTATCCATTGGCCATTCTGGTAGGTGCTTATGAGATGTTTTAAATATCTGGAAATCTGTCTTTTGCATATCTCTGATTTGGTGTAAAAGACCAGCTCAAGAAATAACAAATTTATTTATTTATTTATTTATTTATTTATTTACTTATTTATTTGGGATTCTTATATGCCGCTCCATTTGCATAAGCCTCGGGGCGGCTTCCATCAAAATTGATTTTTTTGCTTCATCTGGGGAGGAAAACCTTCAGGAAAGTTGAATATGCTTCCTTACATGCTCATTTCACAGATTATAGCATATTATTATTTAAATAGGAGTTATTGTAAAATAACAAATGTTGCTTTTTAGGTTGCACATAAATAGAAGTATGAATAAATGTAAGGAGTCTTGTAAAATGTTTTTTGAAAACTTAACAATATTGAAACAATACTGAGGATGAAAATACTGTTCAAATGCTTCCTTACCTTAAGCATATCTTTCATTTACTATAACTCATTTAAAATGTTTCCCAGTATTCTGAAAGCTCCGAGTGTCTTACCACAAAGGGCAGCAGTGTGTGGTTCTAGCCCTAGTGACTCCTGATACTATGTAAGGGGCATCTATTAAAAGATACTGAAGTTTTAATGAATAAAACTTGTCGTAAAAACTAGTTTCAGTACCTGTAGAGTTTTTCTGTATTTAAGCAGAATTTAATTAATTGAAAAAAGCCCTTTTCCTCTGTTCTCTTACCTGCAGTTGATAGATGATATGAAGCCGTTGCGTCCATATGAGCGCTTTGACACACTTAAGCAGTTTCTGGAGCATGATGGGCATGTTTTACGCTTTTATGGCATTTGGGATGACACAGAAACAATGTTTGGGGATGTTCGAGAAGTGGTGCTACATTATTTTCTGGCTGATGACACCATTGAAGTCAAAGAAGTGATACCAGTGAATTCAGGTCGGGATGCTGTACCTCTGTTTCTCAATAGGCAGAAGCTACCAAAGGTAAGGTGTGCATGCGTGTGTGCATGCATGTATGTGTGTGTGCCCATGTGTAGGGCAGCGGTACATGGATGCATACATGTGTACCTGCCTGTGTACATATGAAAAATGGGTGAGGGGGGTGCATGCCCATTAACCCACATGCAGGCCTCCAAACCTACAGATCTCTGATCCATCTGCTCCTAATTTCAGTAAGAAGAGCCCAGAAGAAAAGCCCTGATGGATGAGACCAAAGATCCATCTTGTTCATATGTGTAAAACACTTCTGGGGATAGAGAAATTAACTTCTGCAGAGAAAGTTTTAAATTGCCTCATCATTTCTAGCCCCAGTCCATGGACCTCTTTCCTCCTTTCTTGGTAGCAGCTACTTCCTTCATTCAAAATGTCAAGGAAATCTTTCTTACCCTATTCCTGCAGTTGAAATGCTGCTACTTGCAGGGCACAGTATTCCAGAGACTGGGGAGGAAAGAGGGGCTCCCAGCCTAAACTACCTCACAGGGTTGTTGTGACAATCAAATGGAGAAGAGGAATATTTGGTACACTGCCTTGGGTTTCTTACAGATGAAAAGGCACTATATAAATATTAAAAATAAGAAAAATGCTTTCCAGAGATCTGACAAAGATTCTTCTGGGTTTAATACTCTAGAAAGATGAGGAAAGACAGAAGGGTCTTTGCCAGAATTATGTGTGCCAGATTTATCATTGGCTAATACAAAATAATGTTGACAGTACTGTTAAATTCTAATAGGAATATGATTATTTATAGTTATTTATCAAATGTATGATTTTTAAAAGAGTTCCTTGGGAATTATTTGAGCCAAGTTTTATTGGCATGTTGGTACCTACCTAAATTGCTCAAATATGACATTATACTCAGTTACAACATGAAATAATGGAGCGCACATGGCTCAGTGGTAAAACATACCCTCAGCATGCTGAAGCTCCCAGGCTCAGTCCCAGGGATCTCCAGTTAAAGAAGTCATTGAGTAGGCGATGGGCATGACCTCATTGCCTGTGGAAGTGGACAGTGAGTCCTAATGTATGGCAACCTCCTAGTAGTTTGTAAAATTTAACGTACCCAGTTTATTTTTCTGATAGTTAACAATCTCTCTCTTCTTCCCCAACACTCCAGTATGCTCCAGTGGGACTGTACCAGCCTGGAACCATCACAGATAGGACAGTGCTGAATGTATTTGGAGGTCTAGTGGGGAATAAAGGACGTTACATTCTGGACAATCGTAAGGTAAACAGCTGTATTAATACAGACACATTTGAATATGATGTAGCCATTATGCAAAGCACACCAAATTCTAAATTAAAAGCTTACACAGAAAACAACTTTTGTTGTTGCCTCAGTGATTAAACAGCCCAGGTTGGAATATGGGTTTTCCTTTTCTTGTGTTATTTCAAGTTTCCACTCCCTCCCCCCACCCCAGCACCTACACACCAAAAATCAAATTCAGAATCTTAAAGGATTTGTATATTTTTTTTCCACCTCCTCTATTACTAGACAGGAGCTGTACATCAGGAATTTTATAAAGACTGTGACCTGAGAATAGGGTCAGCAATCAATGTTTGGGGAAGAAAGGTAGTTCTCTGCGATTGTGATGAATTTACCAAAGAATATTATAAGACAAAGTATGGAGTCAGTAAGTAACTGGTGCTTTGATGTGCTACTCTTAAGCTATGAACTTGTACAGGTTGTTTTTTTGTTGTTGTTGGGGTGTTTTTGTTTTTTGCATGCTTTATATTTGTAGATGAATATTTAGTTTTATAATCTATATAAATGACAAGATTTACGAACAAAGAATAAATGCTATATTATTGCCCTGATATGAAACTCCATGTGGGAATTAGTGTCGTGTACATGGGATTCCTGCACTTCCAGTTGCTGTAGTCACTTCACTGAATTGGAAAGCTTCTTTTGTTCAAAGGCATGCAGAGATGTATGCTCCATTGAAGTGAATAGGACAGTCCTTGCCAGTCCTACCTATGCAACTGCTTCATTTCAGTGCAAGAATGCTGTCTAGTGCCATTATGATGAAATTCCCCTTCCTTTATTGGAATCTAGATTGTGTGTCTGTGTTGAACCTTTACAATGAAAGAGAAATTGGAGTTCCAAAATATTCCAAAGGATTATTTATTATGTAGAACTGATGGAATGCTTTAAGGGTCATAGCAGTGGCTTATTTCTTACATTATTTAATGTCACCTGGGTGTTAAAAGTTCATTTTAGTGTTCTAGTTCAGTGAGCAATGTGACAGGAAGAAAGAAGGGGTGACTGAAGGACAAACTTTCCTCTTCTACAAATACTGGCCAGCTCCTTGCTCCTACCTATCAGTCACATTGGACCTGCCTACCACTTTCCTCTCATTTATTCCATTTTTGTCAACTGCTCCAGCCAGTTTTTGGCAAGGGGGCTTTTTGCTTTCTATATAAGCCTTAGAGAGATTCTTAATAGGCTTCTATAGGGTGTGAAAAAGACCCCCAGCTAAAAAAATAGGTAGATGCAGTAGTGAAGTGCACTGCCCAGCTAGGACCCTTGGGGCAACAGTGTCTTTGGTGGCAGGTAAACTTTGTTAATGTAAAAGCCCTTTATCTGAGATACTAGCCTAGAAAACTGCTGTCAGTCAAAGGTTTAGATTCATAAAATGTCTGACCTGATATAATGCAGCTTCCCATATCCCCTAGTGCCCAGTGTGATCATGGAGACCTCTGGAATAAAAAAAACTCTAAGCAGATGTTGTTAAATTTGCCTGCAAATTCTTTATCTGGTTCTCCTTGCATTCCATTCTGGGCAGAAATTGCTAGCAGCACTAATTTTACAGCTTTTTAAAACTGGAGTTAATTTTAAAATTCAGTGTTTATGGGCCTGAGTTTGATGGATATGTAGATAGTTTTATTTTATGTTTGGCAAAATGTTATGCTTAAAAGTTATCTAGCTTAGAGGAAATGACTTGAGTTTAAAACTGAAAATTTCTTCACTTACTGAAAGATGACACATGTGTTCAGCACAGAGAGATATATTAACTAATCTTTAAAAGCTGTTTTTCTCTGTCAAATTCTTTCCAAAGCTTCACAGCTTAGAGAAGATAACACATTTATTGTGCCATTGTCAAATCCTAATCATCACAGATTGCACTAAGGCTACTGATATTTCTGTTGCCATTTGCTCTGATATTTTCATTACATTGATAAATGTCAAGATAACTTTACAGTTTTAATAAGAAATACTTATTTTTGTGCTGACTTCATACCTAATTTGTTTGTGAATATATTGCTGATTAGAACCACAACACTAAACATAATTCTTTGGATGTGCCTTGTCAAAATAAATGGAACATAATTACAAGACTGAAGATTCCAAGATCAGGGCACTGTGCCCATCTGAATCCCTGCAGGCAGAGTAGATGAAATGCCAGAGGTAAAAGTGCGGACTAGGTGCAGCAGTGAGGATAGAATCCCTACTCAGATTCCCCCTCACCTCAAAGCCATCAGTGTGTTTATGGCCTTGGTGTGTGGAGGAATCTACATGTTATAGTCTCTGGGATACCTTCCCAGGGGCCATGGAGTTGCTTTGCAAATGTGTTCAGATTCTAAATAAAACACAGTTTTTCTTCATGCACTATCATTGGCTTCACAAGATATTTGTATCCATGGGTGCCGAATTATCCATAAAAGTTAACCTAATGCTTCTTTCAAAATTGGATAACTAGATTGACACTAGATTCCTCATGATGGGTGGTTCTTGTGATGGATACTAAGAATAAGTTCATGTATTAAATATGCTGCATTTCATGTCATGACTAACTTTAGGGTCAAGATAATTAAAGCAACAGTTAAATAATTTACACATTCCGCCACCTTGTAATATGCTTAATTTTAAAACTTTTCTCAAGAAGTTCTAATGGCCCAGTGTAGATTTTCTAAGCACAAATCATATATAAACTTAAATTTGACAAAGTTAATAAGCTGAGCAAGCAATATATCTGGACTTCTTGATTTAGCCTATAAAACATTAAATTGTTCTGGAGAAGAGTGGTTTAGAAAGGGGAAGTACCTTAAGTTGGCTGTACAAATGGTTAACAGTCTGCAACCATATGAATTATCCACAAGGTGGAAGGAAAAATAAATTGACTGCACAAGGATCAATGATGGCTTTAGTGTTCTTCGTTGTAACGCTAATAACTTGGGTGAAGAAATGGATTACATACTCTTCACATTTGCTAGTGATTCAGAACTGGGCAAAATTCTAGACTCTTGTTAAGCTTGCAGTAAATACATTCAGATCCACTTGGGGTTGGGTTCCTTGATGTTGAAAGTACCATGTCCTAAGCTATGTAGGTTCTGGGAGGATGTATGACTACTGCAGAAAGAGTTTGCTTATCCCCATTACTGTCTTGCTTGCTGAATTCCGAAAACACAAAGAGTGCAGGAAGAGGAGGAGGAGGAAGAAACAGGGCCATTACCAACATACAAGAAAATTTAAGAATGGGAACTGTCAAGTGTTACAGACTAAACTTCATATTTAAGTGAAACTTTGTTGTAATGTATTTTATGTGCTGTTGTAAACTGCACAGAGAGCTTCAGCTATTGGGGGTATATTAATAAAATGGATAGTAATAGTAGTATTGAGCTTCCTGGGAAATAGAGCTCTTCCAACAAAATTTGGGGCCAAAACTAAGGTCTAGTGATCTCAATTGTTTAACATGCTTTTAATAACTGAAATCAGTAAATCTTGTGTTTCTTTCAAGTTTGCACCTCACCATCTCTAACAGTTATTCTTTCCTTGTGGGATTCCACAGCAGAAGATGACCTTTGTTGCTTCCCATCTCCCAAGCAAGCGAAGTGGCAGAGATGGTCCTGTGCGTGGGAAGCAACAGGAACCATTTCCTCTCATTAGGCTCCATTAACACAATGCAGTGTTACTGATTTTGAATTGGACCTAGTGTAGTCTGTAGTTGCCAAGCAGGAGGGAAATAGCGAAAATGGTTTTTCTCCTACCACTAACTTTTCCCTCCTTAGGGACACCACTTAAAATTACAAGTTCTCTTTAGCCCATCTACTCAAGTTGCACTAGGTGGCACTGTTGGAATGCAAGAAAGATCATAATCAGAGTTGCAGTTGTTATGCAAGTCTTGAAACCCAGAAACACCAGCATGGAGACTGCTGCACATTAGAAAATTTTGAATGCCTTTGTTGTTTACATGCCCACCATTACTTTCTAATTTCACATACAAATCTTTCTCAGAGTTGATTGTTTTCAAGCTCACTATGTATATATGTCTGTCAATTTTTTTAAACCAGTGAAAATGTACAGATGTAAAGCAGTTGAACTCAATGGAAATAAATTGGCTTAACCCCAAATAGTTTTACTTAACCCAGCTGTCAGTATGTAGTGATCAGAATGGTCCCAGCCAACTTATACATTGTTGTCTGGAGTAATAATGTTGATAAGTAAATCATGTTTATGAGATGAATACAGATGAATTTGCCGGTATTAAAGTTGTATTTAGGAAAAAAAGATGGATAGAAAAGTATAGGGTTGAAAATTCTGGGCCCATTTCTAGGTCAAACAAAGTCTTTTGTTTTTTGGCAGTCTACCAAGGCTCATGGAAATTTGAGTTTTTTTCCCATCCATAGAGAGAAGTTGATAGAAAGCAGAGAAAAATGTCAATAACAGTATTCTCCCAGAGGGCAAAACTTGAAAAATTTCCCCAAAATTGGGGGTTTCTGCTTAGAGGAAATATTTGCTTTTCTAAAAGGCATACTTATCCTTCAGTTACTCCTGCCAAAAAGGGTGAATGATTCTGCTTCTATAGACTGAGACAGCATATATCAAAATCTAGAACCATTCTTAATATCTTCTAAAAGTGAACAGTAAAATATTGGTTGTTGATTTTGTTTTGCAGAGGACTTTACTCCAATTCCATACAAAGCTCCACCTATTCCAAAAGTAGAAAGAGTGATTCCTCCATACCATGGTTTTGGCTCTGAGGAGGACTCTCTTTGCTCTTGCATGGGTTTACTTCCCAAACCACCCCAGAAAGACTTCAAGAAATTCATGGCAAAAGACAGGTATCGGAGCAAAAGCAATATCGGCATCCCCCCCTTCTCTAAATTGTAGAAATGTAAGGTGGAGGGGTATTGTCATGAATATGTATATGTCAAGAGATATTATAAATGGGCACTGTACCATTCACAATTACTGTGAGTTAAACAGATATTTCTCAGAATGTAGGGCTGGCTCTCCTAGTATAAATGCCTAGATTTTCATGAACTGCAAAGAGCTAGCTCCAGATGAAGGTAAGAACAACTGCACTCATAACTTGGTCACGTCTAGTACTAAATAGGGTGGTAAAGTTCCCCTCCCCTCCCCATGTCTCCTGTTTCCACTATATAATTACTTACATGTTGTGCTGCCTAGTGATGCTCCATCTATTTTATGAGCATTTCTGGGATTTATTTAAAGGGTTTCAAATCGAAGTAACTGGATTACTGTGATTTGTAAATAACAGGGAGAGATTCCAGGCATATGCAGCATGTTGTGGCCTGCAGAGTTGCTACAGATCCTAAGATGATGTAACAGCTGTCAGTATACAATAGAATTTATATTGGAGCATCGCTTATTCTGTATTGTTTTTGATATCTGATCTCCCAAACACTAAATGACTATGGAACAGACACTGACAACATCTCTGTCTTTAAAATTGAAATTTAAGATTAACACAGTGTTAAACATGTTGTTAATGTAGAGTGGTTCCCCTCCAGAAGAAAAGGGTTTAATAGCACAAATCAACTCATTAAAGGTAAAACTGGATCTGAACAGTGGAATTATTTCCCTAGTTTATAAGGGTATGAGTAATAAAGAAGATGAATCAAGTATGTAATGTTTTATTCATTTTACAAAAGAAAGGGATTGCTTCTCCGGATAAAGGAAAAGTTCTGAGCATCTTCTGTTTCTGCTGTTACAGACAAGGCCTCGAAAGTAATATATTGCGGTTTCTTGCACAACTTATTACTACTGATCCTGTTGACAAGGATCGGAAGTTCATTATTTCTTTTTTTCTGAGTGATGACACCATTGCTGTTTTTGAACCTCCCCAGAGAAATACAGGTGAGAGATTAATTCCATGGCAAGAAATTCTAGTAAAGAGAGGAAAGGGTTTTTATTAATGAGCACAAAAAATATCAGTTTGGTGGAAATAAATACATGAAAGAACTTGGTGAGAAAGACATCTACTAGTTGGGGAGTGCATCATTTGTGTTTGTGGGAGAGTGGAAAAACTGGCTTTTAGTAGAATTATCTATGCACCTTTTTATCCTTTTATTTTAGTTAATATTTAACTAATATTAAAATATTCTCAGAATAATATTAATATTTTAATATTAACTAATATTTTAATATCAGGAACTGAGCTGATAATAGCAAGAGAGTTGCATCTCAAAACCAGTTGCTTGGAAACATGAGCAAAAGAGATAGCTCTTGCACTCATGTCTTGCTTGTGAGCTTTCTGGTTGGCCATTGTAGGAACAGACTGGTGGACTAAATAGGTCTTTGTCTAATCCAGTACAGCTCAGCTTCAGGTTTGTAGTAGTATTTGCAGGTTTTCTTTTTTTGCTTTTGAGTCATTTAGAAATACACCTCACTCCTTATCTTTGTGTTGTGCCAGTTCTATAATATTTAGATGTACTGTTTTTCTCCTCACTCCTCACTTCCTTTCCACAGAGATGAAGTTTTTTTCTTCAACTTAATCTGAGATAGAATAATGCCAGCTTTGCTCAGTATCCTCTGTTCTCCCTGAGTGTATGCTGCAGTATACAGGTTTTAAAAAATATATTAGTGACTAGATGACAGGAAGCTGCAACAGCTTGGTTTCTATTCTTGACTCTGTGTTTTCATGCTCTTACAGACTTAAATCACACCTTGAATATTATGTGATTTTATTTTAACCTTTCAGTTTTATTGTAAAAGGAAGATTTCGGAACCCAGCTGTGGTTGAATAAGTATTACAGGTTTTGCATTTCCATATAATTTTGACAAAATGGCATTTGATTATACTTCCCATTCTGTTTTACTACACTTACATCACAAAATAATAAGTATGAAACATTTTATGGTCCCTAATGCATGCTTTTTGACTTTTGATTGGGCATGCATATACAAAGAGGAAATTAGCCACAGGTATGCTGGAGTTAGTGTGTTATAGGGCTAGGTCTGAGGGCAGATGCTACAGCCGCCTAACAGATGTTAAGCAGGTGACTTGGGGTGCTATCAGAGGGCTCTTAGCACTACCAATCAAAAGGTATTGTGCAGTTTTATCTTTTCCAACTTACGGATTTTTGTGAAAAGAAAAAAGAAGTGGTCAGAAAACCAGGGGGAATACAATATAAAGACATCATGTGGCCCTTCTGTAACATTCTGTGAATGACGCCATATGATCACACTGTTGGGAGGTTGAGCACCTTCCTGAGCAACATACCTTGAGAATGAGACAAGGTACAGAGGGAAGAAAGATATGGAGGGAGGTAAATTGCCAGAAATTATGTATGATAAGTTAAGTCCATGGAAGGAAAGTTTCTCATCTCTCCTTCCCTCCCATGAATTTTGTTAACTTACTTAACATTCAACCCATAAATTAATGGAGCAGGTTAGGCTTCCCTTCCCAGTTGCCCCTGTAGCCCTCTCACACTGTTCACGAGGGTCCCCAAGCTAACTAGAGAGGGTTTTTTAGGTCACAGAAAGCTGCAGGGGTAAGAAGTAGGCAAGATTTTTCCTTCTATGAACCTCTTTAAGTTAACTTACCTTAGGATCCAAGCCAATGAGAGTAAAACATGACTAACTTCCTCTGGATCCCTTGTGAGTCATCTAGTTTCTTCCAAGATGAAGGCAGAGTTCCCAGTGTTTATGTCTTGATTATGGAAACTCCTAAATAAAGCCTTTTTTCCCTCATCATGAAAGACAAAAGAAAAGTATTTGGCATGAAAATGAACACAGCAAGGAATGTACCTGCCTCCCATGAAAATGATTGGGATTGCTATGGATAATTCAGTGTGGACAACAGGAAATCCAAGGGTGCTGTCAAATTTTAAAGTGTACACTTGTTAGTTTCTCTCTGAAAGATACAGCTTGTTAATTTATGGTTCTCTTGTTACAGGGGTAATTGGTGGGAAATTCCTGGAAAGAAGTCGTATTAAGAAGCCTGGGCAGGAGCTCTATAAGAGCAAACTGTCTGAATACTACACAGCTGAGGATCTGTATGTTGGAGCCAAAGTGTGTTTCCATGGCCACATCTTTCTTTTGGTGGATGCTGATGAGTATGCTTTCAACTACATGGAGAAGCATGCAAATGAGGCAAGCTGTGCTTTCCAATCCTTATTTGGCCTTTAAGGCACATGCAGTTTTATTATCTTGCTTAAATAATGTTGGCTATGAAAACCTTTGTTTATTCACCCCAAGATCAACAGAGACTCTTTGTTATTTGATTTGAAAACTGTGTAATGAAAAAGTGGTCTGTCTCTTCAACACGTTATAGGCACAATGGACACAAAATAATGTGTTTGGTAAATGCCATGGAGTGTACTTTGTGCTTGATGATTCGAATTCACAGATTGACTTTCAAAATGATATAATCCTGCCTTTGTTTCTGGACAGGAATAAAACAGCAGAAGCCCAAAAGGGCACTGCTGATACAGTCTGTGCTGTACCAATTAATTTTCCCATGCCAAAGATAAAGGAGCAGAAGCTAACCAAACAAAATACATAAGAACATCTGATAGTTGTTATGGCTGCTTCTTCTCATACCACTTGTGGAGGACCGTCTGTGGATAAAGGACAACCAAACAGGGAGGAGATAAAAATAGGATGCTGCAAATGACATTATTGCAGTGCTAGCTTTGCTTCTTTCTGGTATTTCGGATATTATGTGTAGCTACATAACAGATTCTGTTGAAATAACGTATTTAATGTAGTTGTACCTACTGATTCACTTTCTCTAGAGGTTCGTTTAAAAGGTATTTAAAATTGAATTTTACACATCCAGGCAAGTGGAAATATGTTTTGAAACTGATCAAGTTTAGCCACACTGAGGGTTATCCTCTAGTTCTAGGTTTGAATGCAAACTCTACACAAAACAAAGTGTTTGTGTGATGACGGCATCCCTCTTGATGGCTGTCTTGCATCAGTGCACAGTGTGTGTTTTCAAATGTACCTGACCTACTGTAGGAGGATAATTGCATCTCCTTGAAAAAGCAGATGAATTACTTTCACAGTTTGAATTTGATTTCACAATTTTTTGCCACCTGCACTGGTTGTACTTGATAATTAATTTCTTCTGATAAAATTACCAGTATCTTTGCCTATCCCAGGTTGGTCTGTGTGGAACAGGGAGAATATAGTGATTGAGGTTGCTTCCTTGGTGGGCTAAGGCAGTTTAGAAGAAGCATTCTTTAATAGGCTTGGAGAATGGATGTGCAGTAATCTGATTCTACACTGACATATGATTATCTCAAGTGCAATTTGGCATGGCTTGAGAAAACTTTTACAAAATCTGTTTTCGGACTCGTTGTTTTTTTCTAAAGACCAACTAGTGACATGCTATAAAGAATGGACTGTCTGATGTGACATGCAGACTATGGTTTATTGTTGGGTTGAAACTGAGTGTTGCTTGTTCCTCAACAACCCAGAGTTCCAGGTTAAAATGTTGTATCGGCCAGCTCAGGAATAGGGTAATCCTAGGTTGTAGCTGAAAGCAGATGCAGAGTGGAAGGAGTGACTATGCAAGAGGCAACCAGCTCATTTGCTCTGGTGTGGCACTACCAGTTTATGGATTAAGGATCCCATGAATTTTCATTATATGAAAATCAGCTCTAAATGGCATAAGTGGAAAAAAACCTGACTTCTATAGTTTTCATTGTTCACATTGCCATATAGTACCTGAACATTACTTTGTATTAAATGCATGCTGTGTTGCTCTCACTTGCCCTTTCCTACTTTTCCAGTTTGCAATGGCCAATATCAACATAATTTTGAACAAACTGAAAGCAATAGGAGAACCTCGGTCAAGAGAAATTAAGCAGATTTTTGCAGCTACAGATCCTCAGCACACCTTCATTATTGATTATGATGAATTCAGGTGAGACTCTATAAGCTTAGAGGAAAGACAGTTTAATTTACTCTGGTATTTATTTACTAAATTCTGGTAAGTTTTCAGATCTCTCCAGTGAGGTCCTCATTGTCAAGATGAGAGAAAATTTACTGGGCTGTGTATAGTTCCTTAAACAAGTTTGCCTAGTGTAACCTCTTTAAAGTGCCCATGAAGTCATTTCTTTGTATTTTCTTGCAGACTAGACTTGTGTGGGTTCTTGTTGGTCTCAGCTGTGTACTTAAGCAGCATGAACATGTCATCACATGAAGCTGTCCTAAACCGAATCAGATTATCCAGGCCAATGCTGTCTACTGTGATTAGCACCAGTTGTTCACAGATACAGAGTAAATGGTGACCTCTCCAGCCCTTTCCCCTAGAAATGTGGAAATGTGGGGTATTGACCCGTAGGTGCTTCTACATGAAGTACATCTCCTCTGCTCCTAAGCAACACAATTCTGTATTCATAAACATTTACAACAGAATGCAGCTTTTAATGCTTCATGCCTGCTATAACTGGCATGTTCTAATGTTCATGTTCTCACCCTCACTCAAAAGGCAGGATATAGATAAAAGAAGTAATGGTAGATCCATTTTCTTGTTAATAGATATTTTTTCTAAGTTTCAGTCCTGTTCTATCAATGCTATGAATGCATGTAACAACAGCAACAATTGCATGATGAGTTGTGTTGCTTAAAACCTTGAGGATGCAATCCTGTGAACCTTTACATAGTTGGGCTGGCACCTGAGTAAACATACTCAGGATTATGCTGGACACAGCATTTCAGTCACTCAGTCATAGATTATGGGTTTATGGGGCACTTTGCCTTTCGATGGTAATGCTTATTATTTTCATACATTACTCAGTTGGTCCTGCTGTGTTTGGGGGCCCTCCTGCCCATTTGGCTGAGTGGGGCCCTGGATTTCTCCAAAACCCTGCCCTGTTGGCAGCACATCTTGCTTCATTTAAAAATGTCTGTAATAGTTATGGATCTTGCAGAAACATTACTTATGTATGGCTAATCTTTGTGCCAGGCTAAATATGACACCGCTCTGTGGAAACAAATATTTCCTTCAACATATCCTTTCCCTGACTTTTCCCAATTAAAGGTTTTTTTTTAAAAAAATAAAAATCTGTGTTTAGCATATCCAGACACCAGGACATTGGTATGAAATTGCGACTGTCTTGATGGTTAACCTTCAATTCCAAGTCACCTTGATCTGGAGTAAAAATGGGCAAGATTTATATTGTGCTGTGAAAGTTCCAGTTACTGTTCACTTCCAGCAAATCTATGAAACCTAGTTTTCCTTGCACCTGTGCTAGTTATGTGTGTGCATTTGCATGTGTGTGTGAGTGCACACACATGCGTGCGGGCAGTCTTGAAGGGTCATTGTTCCTTGTAGTATGTAGCCTCTGATCAAACAGGTTTTGTAAGGGTTTTGTACTCCTTCAAAAGGAAATACCAAACCATAAGAATTGCACTGCAAGACAACTCAGGCTGTCCCCCTCTCCCACAGGATACTGCAGTGAGTATCCCTCATAATCCTTGTTTGATGCATAAGCCTCAGCCAAGAAACAAGTGTTAATCAGAACTGTAGTTCAAAATATCTGGAGGGCACCAGGTTGCTCACCTCAACCTAGTCCATCCATCTGGTTGAGAGTTAGGGAGTACTTCAGCCCATATCTAGGGTGGTGGGAGCGGAGGAGAAAGATGCTGGGGATTTTCTAATCTAAAGGCCAGAAGACACAGAACTTAGCAAAACCATCTGAAATATTCTAAGAACATAAAGGATGGCTTAGCCGTCATGTGGCCTTGTACATGGGAAAGTGAGACAGAATACAGATAAATGTCATGTTAAAAAAATTTTATTTGGAAAAATGAAGAAAGGGGGGGGGGAATTAAGGCACCATATTGTTTGCACACTGATTTATAATTAAAGTTAATCTATTATGTTAGTTACATATTATCTGCTTGAACAGAATCTTGGAAACAAAATTTTGCCTCTGGAGAAGTTCCACTCAGGGTGAAAAAGAAAAAAACATGCCTTAGGGAGCATTGCTGTTCTGTTCAGAATATAGGGCTCTTCACATGTCTCTCCCCACTTCCATTTCTCTTTGGCCAGACATGTTTTATTAAATAGTCCAAGCAAGGAGGGGAACAAGCATGTTCTTGTACATGAACTCCAGAGAAGATGAATTATATAAACGCTAGTATGACAAACAGAATATATAAGAAAGATAGCATAAGATAAGTATTTGTTTAAAATAAGGATACATTATATCATTAATGTATCTTTTGGAAAATGATAGTCCTGCATTTATCTAAGATACATAATATATACTCCATCAGTAAAAAGAGCACAAAGTAAAGAGAGTTTAAGAAAGTTCTTTGGAAAAGGCCAAAACTTTGTAGAGAATGAGGTGTCTTCTTTCTAAATACACTGAACACTATAGTGTAATAAGCATGGAAGACACAGATCACATTTTAAAATTAAAGGCACATTGTAAAATTAAATTAAATTAAGTTAAAAGTTTTTCTTCTTCATGTCAGAAAGATTTCTTGACCAAGGGCATAATGCATAGTCAGAACAGTAACAAAGGTGCATAATATGCATACAGTATTAGAATTTCATAGGAAAAACAATTGGAGGATAGAACATAGTTTCCAAAAGTATAGTTTGCAACTTCATGGTGTGGCAAAAACTGGCTTCTTGGCTTCAAGTAAATTGTGTTTGACTAACCTCTTAAGAATCCAAACTGCAGTGAATAGAGAAAGCAGGGTGTGTGTATGCCCAGCAGCTCCAACAAACAACAGAGGAGCAGAATCGTGAATCCCAAGGTTTATAAAAGCATGCTTCTAGCTTTACTTGGGATGGTGATTTGTAGTGAAGTTTACTCACCAGGAGGGAAAAGAGAACAGCCAGTACAATCAGCAAGTTCCTTTGCTTTAATTTCTTGTGCATTGAAGTGGATAGAAACATGCCACTTTCCACATAATTGGATTCAGAACCAGGGTAAAACACTATAGGAGCGGTTTGGGAAAGAAATTTTGATCTACATTTCACTCTAGATTCCAAGAAAGAACAAGGTTTGTTTGGAAGAGTTCTTCCTTCCTTTGCATGTTTTGGTTAAGTTCCTGGCAACTCAAATCACTTTGGGTTTGAACCTGCAAACTGGGGCATAGCACAGGTTCTCTTTTTTCTCCTTGCATCCCAGCAAGATGGGACCTGCAGAAGCCACTTAAGTAAGGGGCCATATCAGCCTAAAGTGCCTGATTCTGCCTAATCTTGGAAGCTCAGATTCAGTGGTATTGTTATAAACACCCAGAGAGCTTTGGCTACCGGTGGTATAGAAATGTAATAATAATATAGAAACTCCCACAGAGATACTGGGTCAAGACAGCCAACAGTCTTGTGGCACTTTAAAGATGAACAAATTTATTTTGGCTTACATTTTTGTGGACATTGTTTACTTCTAGTATTTGTGCACACTGTTCACAGCAGAAGTAGATAGCATCCACAAAGGCTTATGGTGCCAAAGATTCCTTGTTGTTTTGTCTGGAACTACCCTTCTGGAAATTGTTACTTAGTATAGAGTTAGAGGGAGTCTGTTAAGATGTATAGAGGGCTCTTTATTGTGTCTGCAGACCCAGCTGTCATACTCAAAGTAATTCAGTTTACTTCTCAGTTGGAATAATAGCAAAAACCATCTCAGAGTACAATTAGCACATGTATATTGGAACGTCTGTGTCCATGAGAATTCATTGTTATCAGGAAAAGTCACATGATAGTGATTTTGAGCAAGTGTGCATAAATCTCTAAAATATTTGGCTCTTGTTATGGTATGAGCACATCTTGTGTAGTGTGCAGTTTATAACACTACAGGAACTTTGCAAAGTACTTTCTTGAAACAAGTGACAGTGCAGACAGTTTTACACAGGAATGAGGAACCTGTAGCTCTGTAGGTTTTCTTTTAAAAATTAAAGTGTTTTATCCATTTTATCCAGAAAGGCTCTCAGAGTAGTTTATGTGCCATCAATAAAACAAGACATTCCCAAGCAACAGGTTTACAGCTCAAACAGATATGACATACAAGGGGATAGGAAGGAAGAGGGGGAAAATAAGCAATATTTCAGTTTCTCAGGGAGTAAAACTCCTCTTTCTCCTGTCCCTTGGTCAAGTTGGTTGGGGCTGGTGGGAGTTGGAATCAACACCAACTGGAGGACCACAGGTTCCCCATCCCATTTTAATAACACATAATGTTCAGAAAATCTGAAAAAAATATTTTGAGTTACTTCTTCCTTGAAAACAGGCAGAATAGGATTTTGGATATATTTACACACCTGTGTTCCTTGACACTGATACTTTACTTGTTCTTAATGTGTAAGATCCATAAGCAACTGTCATAACAAAAATATTGCCCCTTCCCAAAGTGTGCTCAATCTCAAAATCATTAATTATGCGCTGCCTTGGGTCCTAGATTTAACTTAAGCTGTGTTGCATGACATTTTAAGCTTTGGTTGCTTTGCTTGGTGAGCCTAACATCATTGTTTCCCTTGTATAAGAAATTGTCTGTTTTTCTGCATAGATCTTATCAAATGTTCTAGAAAGTAGTTTGTACTTGACAAGTAGATAAAGCAAGCACTGAAATTAACATATTGGCATGATGACGTTTTCCCATTTCATTGTGCTGTGGAACTCAACTAGAACAAGACGTGATGTAGATACACTTTTAAAATGAGTGGTAATAGGGGCCAGTTAAGAGGGTACTTTATACTTTTGGTAATTTAAGCTGTCCCCTGAGTGTGTTCTTCATGTGAACAATTGCGATATATGAACTAGAAACTCATGAATCTTGTGGTGTTGAAAGGTCCATTAAGTTGGAGGCCAGTTTTCCTCTCCCTTTTGTAGACTGCTGTAATCTAGATCCATAATTACTTATGGCTGTACATGTACTTTGTAAAATCCTCTAATATGTTTTAAAGTTAGAGTGAACATTATATTTACAAAATGAAATAGTCTTACTTTGGCAGCCACATTCTGTAATATGGCAGCTTGGTTCCCTCCAGAAGTTTTCAACTGTAGCTCCCATAATCCCCAACAATTAAACAAGCTGAATGGGGCTATGACACCTGTATTCCAAAACATCTGGAAAGAATCAGGTTGTCTACCTTGTTGAGTAAAGCCTAATCTAGAGGCTAATCAAAGGAATTGAACTTATTAAAAGATTTTGTTTACACAATTCTCAGTTGATCCTAAATGGATCTCTCGTAGCTCCAATTAAATTTGCAGCTGTATTGCTTCTTTTCTATATCTTTTCTCAAGGAAAATTAGATTATTCAAAACTACCATGTTTGAAGCTCAGCTATCAGGTCAGAAAAGGTAGCACTAAGTCTAGGAGGTCACTGGTTTAGTTAACAAGCAATGTCAAGGAAGCTGTTAGAGATAAGGCCTCCTTCAGAAAATGGAAGCCTTGTCAAAGCGAGAAAAATGAAAAGGAGCATGCATAAGGGAGATGCAAGCAGATAATTAGATATGTAAAAAGCATTTTGAGATGCATATTACTAACAGCATCAAAACTAACAATTCTTTAAATATATCAGCAGCAAGAAACCAGATAGAGAGGCCTTTGGACCATTGCATAATGAAGTTAAAGGAGTGCTATAGGAAGATAAGATGATTGTAGTGAAGCTGAATTATTATTTTTTAAAATCTGCCTTCTCTGCAGAGGATACAGGACAGATACCTGTGTATGAACGCACATTTTCAGGACGAGAGTCTGGGGAACTGAGACAAATAGTGGTGGCAAAAAATGACATTTTAAATCTTATTGACAAACTGAAAGCTAATTACTGGGCCCAGATGGCATTCATCCTAGAATTCTTAAAGAAAAAAAATGTCACATGTCCCTAAGACTCTGTACGAGAGAATTGGAGAATGACCCATGTAACACCAATTTTTATAAAGAGTCCAGGGATGGAGGGGAGGAGCCTGGGAAATTACCAACCAGTTAGTTTAAAGTGAATTGGTTGAGAGTGTTATTAAAGAGAAACTTAGTAAACATATAGGAGGGCAGACCCTGCTGAAAAAGAATCAACATGATTTCTGCAAATGTAATTCCTGTAAGTGTTACTAAATTTTTAGAGTTCTTTGAGAGTGTCTGTGTTGTCAGAGGTGATCCAGGAGACTTTGCTTACTTGGAATTCTAAAAGGTTTTTTGACAAAGGCCTTCACCAAAGATTCCTGAACAAACTTAGCAGTCATGCTATAAGAAGGGAGGTCCTGTTACAGAATAGTAGCAAGTTAAAGTATAGGAAGAAGTACATGGGTATGAACGGTAAATTACTCCAATGGAGGGATGTCATTACTAGGCTCCACAGGCATCTATCTGTCTCAAGCCAAATGCTTTCCAACTTATTCATATGTGATCTGGAACTAGGAGTGAACATTGAAATGGCCAAGTTTGCCAATGGCACCAAATTATTTAGGGTAGTCAAAACAAAAAGCAAAGGGGAGGAGCTCCTAAAGTATCTCTGCAAGCAGGGAGAATGGGCATCAAAATGACAATTGCAGTTGACTGTAAGCAAGTATAAAGTTATGCATATTGGCACAAAAAATCCCATCTTCAGATATTAGCTAATGGGATCTGAGCTAGCAGTGCCAGACCAAGAAATAGATTTTGAAGGACAGCTCAGTGAAAATGTTAACCTAGTGTGCACTGCATTGAAAAAGGCGAACTCCATGTTAAGTATCATTGGAAAAGGAATTTAAAATAAAATAGCTAATATCATACTGTCTGTTTATTCAAAGCTGTCATGTGTCTGCACTAGATTATTATTATATTATTATTATTATAACATTTCTATGCCGCCCCTTGCCGAAACTAGATAATGCGTACAGTTCTAGTCTCCTTATTTATAAGAGGATGTTGTAGAGTTGGAAAAAGTACAGAAAAGGGCAACTAAAAGGATCTCAGGGCTAGAGCGACTTCCCTATAAGAAAAGGTTACAGTAGTTGGGCTTATTTCGTTTAGAAAAAAGGCATGGAAGGGGAGTCATGACAGAGATGTACAGAATGATGTATGGTGTGCACAAGGTGGATAGGGAGACATTTTTCTCCCTTTCCCATAATATTAGAACCCAAAGGGTTCATCTCATGAAGCTTACTAGTGGGAGATTCAGGACAGATAAAAAGAGGCAGTTCTTCATACCATGCATAGTTAATTGAATTCACTTCCATAAGGTGTAGGAATGGGCACCAATTTGAATGGATTTTAAAAGGGATTGGATAAATTCATGGAGGGAAATTATTCTTATGTTCTAAGCCAATTCTCAGCTCTAAGGCTGTTCCTGCTAATTATTAGCAATATATTCTAGGTGCTCTGATGTCACATTTTTAATGTATTGTCTGTCTGCAATAGTATGCAACATTTTTATACTTAAATGGTCTTGTATTTCTGAGGTGCAAAACAAGCTTCTCATACTACTCGGTGCTCTTTTTCATACTGAGGTGGAAATCTACATGATTCTAATTACGCTAGATGTTACTGATTGCTTAGAGCTAAATTAGACAAGACACCACACAGAAGGGTAACAGTAGTGGGACTAGCTCTTATAAAGTAAAAAGCTAATTGGGGAGGGTTTTTTATCCTTGTAGGTGGCAGCACGGAGTTTTAACTCTTTACCTCCATTGCAATTCTTGTCTCAGTCAGGTCTGCTGTACCTGCCGTGGCATGAGGCAAAAAGCATGTGAGCCCATCCAGTACAAACATTAAGCATGGCAGAAGTAATCTGGATTGGTTTTGCAGCACTGGGGCAAAGGTTTGATGGGACTAGCTAAGCGTGTGAATGGGTTCTCATCTCATTTGACCCCCTGAAAATCTCCACTTGTGTGGCAGTGTTGAAGCTTTGTCAGACACCTTGACTCAGGTTTTTTAGTTTCGTTGTGATGCAATGGAAAATTAACTTGCGAAGTTTGATTTACAGCAAAAGCGAGCATTCATGACAAATTCCTACATGCTGATTTCCCAGAGCTACCCCTGGACTGAATGTGACTCTTTTTAATTTCCTTTTGTTTTTCAGAAATGTTATGTTGAATATCTCAGATGGAAAATTATCAGAACATGAAATTATGACCATTGGGCGATATTACAGTGCAAGAGATGAGAATGAGATGGATGCCACCTTCCTTCTAGCAGTATCCCAGGAACAACTGAAGAAGAGTAACTTTGAGAATTTTGGCCAGCTCTTTGCTGCCTTGGCCTACAACGACCGGGAGAAGTAAGGAATCTCTTTTCTATTTAGGGGGCTGCAAGGCTTGATTCTGTATCAATCCATATTTAAACAAACAAAAAACACATACTATTTTTCCTTCCAATCTTTCTACAAATAGGTAGTGTATCTTTGCTCCCACTGTAAATAGTGGAAATTACAATCTGGGTCTAAGCACATTTTTTTCTTGGAAACATGTCTCCATTATATAGGATGGACTCCATTCCTTAGGACTGAATGATGTTTCCTTGTAACCCTGAAGTCAGAGATGGGCAATGTTTTTGCCCCCAAGCATTGCATGTAGGTATGATCAGACACACATAGACACACATTCCTCCCCTCCCTGCATCTTTATCCCAGCATATAGGGACAGGGAAGTTTAAACCCATCTCATGGGCATGCTTCCCCCACCGGCTGTTTTGTGCTGCGAATAGCTTTCCCAGTGCCAGTTGGTTATAGGGTGTGGAGGGGGAATGTGATTGAATCAAGAAAGCCTTTCTCCATGCACCATCTTCTACATCTAAATTGCATTCCTTTGTGAAGTGAGCTTAAAATGAGGAGAGTGGCTCATGGCCAGAGTGATTTTTGTGCATTGCCTTCCCCATCAAAATTGTGCTCCACACAGCCTGCCATTAACCTGAATGGCACAGGGAGATTTGGGAGTGCTGGCAGCTTGGGCATCTGTGCCCGCTGCATATAAGGCCTTACATACATCAATACAGGATGTATCTGTTTAAACTGCTTAATTCTGCTTTGAACATCTGCTATGATCATTTGTGATTTTGTCCTGCTCTAAGTGACTTGAGAACTTCTGCTTTTTTCCTTAAGTTGAATTCAACACAAGGAAAAGATGTTGTTTGTGGCCAAGTCAGCTGCAGCATTCAGGAAGGGATCGTGAATGGCACAGTGTTGCTCTTTTGCCTCCCTTCTTTCTCTGGCATGCTTTAAGATTCATGTTATTTTTTCTGTTTTTTTTTTCTCTCTTGCTGTGCTAAGTATCTTGTGACACTGTTATGGTCTGGATCTAATTACCACAGGGAAACATTTTTAATGCTGTTAACAAGTTGTAGGCCAAGCTAATTGAGTACATTCAAAGCTGTAGATTTGAAAGAGAAGATAGATTAATATTTATCTGTCACCAGCATTAAATGTGTGTTAGAGTTTTGGAGTTCTTCAGCAAGTAGGAGGGGTGGGGAGGATTTCTGGGGCCTGCTGTTAAGGCCAGGCAGGGTGGGCTTTGTGTTTGGAGTGCTCTTTTTCTCTTTACTCCTGCTCTGCTGAACAAGTCATTGGTGGAAATGACGAACTAGTTTCCTTCCCCTCTTGTACAACCTCAATGAGTTGAGGAAGAGCTTCTGGCAGGAACTTGGGGATTTGGGAAGCTATGTGGTACCCGAGGACAAGGGGCACAAGTGCTCCTCAGTCTTGGCTTTCTCTGATGCTGAAGAATTTCCTCGTGGGAAAAGTCCGAAAGAAAGGAACATTCCCTGTGACACATTTTACATGTTTTCCTTTTCACAAATGTTTGTGCTATTTTACTACTGCTTTTTAACACAGATTTAATCTCCTCTTAAATCAAGCATTATGTGTTTTCTTATTTCAACTAGCAGTGGTGGTGGTGGTGGTGGTGGTGATGATGATGTTGTGAATGACATTACTTCTGTTTGGGTAGGTGTGGATTGCTGTCCAGTAACACATGCAGGACCATTTGCAAGTCCTTCAGGATACCATTAGCAGATGACCTTCTGCGAGCACTACTGGCAGCGTAAGTCTCACTTCAAGTTGGTAATTATGTAGATCGGGGTAGAGAATATTTTCTGTTGAGTGCTGTGTTCCCTCAAGGACCATCTGTTAGGGGCTGAAGCTGCATGAGGGCATGTAGAACCAAGCATGAGTGTCACCCCTTTTTTTCTTTCTCCCCTTCCTCCCCACCCTGCAGAAAAGGGACAGATGTCTTTTGTCAGAGATCTAGATTGCTGAAGGCCACATAAAATTAAGCAGAGTCTGAGGCTGAGTATAGTGTGTCTAAGGTTTGATGATAAGTGAGTTACAGTGGAGACCAACAATTTTTAAGAGTTCAGAGTGGTTTGAAAGAGGACTTGCCTTCAGTGGTGTGTACATGCATTTCTTTTGTCCCACAGCTACTGAAATAAACATGCATGGGTCTGGGCATAGAGCCTTTGGACAGCAGGAATGAAAGATGCCTTGGTGGTCCCGCCTCATACCCACCAAAGCAATGTCTGTTGGGATCAACAGGATGAAAAGAGGAAGGCCACAAACTATGGTAACCTCTGGCATTGCTGGTGACATTGCCATGGTGACAGAAGTCATGACTTTGGCAATTCCAGAGGTCAGACAGTATGCCAAGGGGCCTCTACACACCTGCATGGCTTGCCATGCTCTCTGTTATGGTTGGAGTGAGACGGCCAGTGAAGACACTTGCTTCATGCCCTTTCAGGCCATTGTTGCAGTGATAGGGCCTGAGGAGAGGGATGCTGGGTGATGTAGCCTCTGTCAATATGAGACCGTTGGAGAACACAAAGGAAGCTACTTCCTGCCCTTTGTAAGAAGGCATTTGAAATGGTAGGGGAACCTTTAACTTTGCCTCAGGTGAAAGTGGGATGAGTTACATGCCAAATCAAACCATTGGAAGGGAGGAAGGCCTCTTTCTGCCCCAAAGGCACACAAGTAGTTATGCCTTGAGTCTCAGAATAGTTTTTCCCCATCTGACTGACCCTTCATTTGGGGTTCCAGAAGTTTGAGGACTGCTTCTAGAGTTCATTTCCTGCTACCTAGACAGCGATCCTCTCCCCATCTCCTGCTTGGAGGCCTTGTTATTATATTAGCAAACAATATAATGGATGGCACACATTTTAAAAAGTGAATCCTTTTAGAACAAGAAATGCAAGATGAACATTAAGCCCTCTTTATGCATCATCATAGGACTGCAGTAGATCAGTCTTAATGAAAATAAGGTATTATTAGTCCTAAAGAAATCTGGCTCCTTCATAAAACAAAAGCATTTCAGGGAGTTCCCTGCGGTAGGCAGATAAATGGCTTTTGCAATTTGCTTTTGCTATTTGCCACATATTCATCATCTCCGACACCTGGTCATGAGCATTAGTCAAAAAGAGTAAAATAATTCATTTTTAGAACTCCCACTAACCTGAACTGTGCTTTGGGATAACCAGAATCCAGGAGTGGAGAATTCTCCCTTCCGTGAAATAGTAATAAAATAGATGCAATCAGAGAAGAGATTATATACTATCACTTGTGATAAATGCATTGAATATTAAAACAAGGCTTTTCTATCTATAAAGCATGGAGAAACAATATGAAATTTGGATTTATGCCCTGATCCTAAATGCATTTTATAAGTGAGAGGTTGCTATCTCAGAATTGTATTAGTTACAATTCTGCAGGTTAAAACTGAGTTCAATCTCTCTCTCTCTGAATTGTGTTTAGAATCTGAAAAGGATTCTGTCAGCCTGAAAAGGAACTATAGAACTTCATATTGTGAAATATGAAATGGCCAGAGGAATATATTACTCATCTAAAATACAGGCATTAATTGAATTTGCTGTGGTTATTTGATTGCAATTAAGACTAAGGACTTGAACAGTTTACCATATTAGTGCCACATTTGTTGGATTATCCTTTGAAAACCTGTTCCAACAAACTTGAAAACTGTAGCATGTTCCCAGTTATTTTCCAGGTTATACAATACTATTTTTACAGGCCTAGAATGAATATGGGCTGTTTTTTGGCACATTAACACAGCTTGAACTCTGTCAGGGTCAGTGAAAAAGGAGATGATGAACAGGTGTCCAGCCTATTCTGTATGGGCTAGCACTCCCCTTGAAGGTAAGATGCACACCCTGGAGGTCCAGTTTTGTTGCTGGATAGGTCACGTGATCACCACAGACAGTTTTCTCCAGCCTTGTACCCCAGGTGTTTTGGATCACAACCCCACCATCACTAGCTATGCTTGCTGGAACTGATGGGAGCTATAGTCCAAAACTTCTGGAGGGCACCAAGGCTCTGACAGTACCAAAGCATCTTTCAACACTTAAGGGCAGCATACCAGCTCCAGCCTCTCCTGATTAGGGAGAGCCTCGCTGGAGTGGCCCACACTTTTGGAGCCTTCGGACAAGGCCGTTGCAGTCTGTTGCATGCAGGACTTCTTTTGAAGAATGCTCAGAAGCAGCAGTTCAGAATATAGCAGCTAGACTCGTACCTCGGACTGGCTTTCAGGAGCACATAATGCTGTTGTTGAAACCCTATTGACTTCTGATCTGTTTCCACATGCAGTTCGAAGTACTGGTGCTTACCATTTTTGAACTTGCCTGTACATTGAGCGCTCCATTAGAGACCTTTGTCCAGGTGCCCTTGCCTTCTGAGGTGGTGACTAGGGAGAGGCCTTATCTGGGAAGAAATCCCATTAAACATAAGTAGGATTTGCTTCTGAATAAACATACATTTGATTGCACTGGAAATCAGTTACTGGGAAAGGAATTGTGGAAAGAGAAGGAATGATAGCTGTCCTACTCCATTCTGCTTATTATTTGTTTCATTCTTAGTGTCACACTAGGTAAGAGCAGAGTGATCTGTTTGGAAACACATGTATGGGGTGAGGAGAATAGTGTACTGTAGAAAACCATGAGACAAAGCACTTCTTATTTTTCTTCTTTTTGCATATATACTGTAAGAGGGAAAGCAAGAAACTCTACTGTAGAGCCCTAGAAAGTTTCCCAAACAAAAGCCTATGACACAACTTCAGAAATGTGTATATATGCCTATTTGGCCTGCGGGGTTCTACCTCCAGGCTGCCAAAGAATTTGGATTGACTTATTTTAGAGAAGGGTCTTGAAGCTGGAAATTTAGAGGTTTCGAGGGAATGGAGTTGGGTGGACTGTAGGACAGAGGCAGGGAGCAGTAGCCACTAGAGCGGGACAAGGAATAGTGCAGGGCGTTGATCGGCCACCCATTCTTAACCACCAGATTTGTGAGTTTTGAAGGTTTAATCAAACACTAACCATATATTGCAAGCTTTCCTTCTTTAACCATGAGGGCTAGAACCTTGTTACTCTTATTTTTTGCTTTGGTAATTTCTGAGCCAGGCACATAAGAATACTATGAGCACAGAATACTAAAAGCCTATTAATGCAATTTAAGCATGTTAACATAATATACTGTTTCTCCACGTGATTCTTTTATGATATAAGCTAATGCTTGTAAAAAACAAACCCAAAAATTATTACAAGGGCCATAGAATTTAACGAAAGAGCACACTTATCATAAATCCCGAGTGCAAATCAGTTTTAATGCCAGTTGACTTTTATTGGGTGTGTTTGCCATTTAAACATAAAAGATTGGAAATAATTATTATCCAGGATTTTGGATTTAATCTCTAAAATTTTGGATAATTTATTGGTTCAGTATTTGTAAGTGATAAGTGATTGCTTGTCCCAAACCAGAATAATAAATGTAGTAATGCAAAACACATTTGTGGCATTTATCCAGATTCCCCATCAACAAGTGAAAGCAGCAAAATAGCTAGTGTTGTTCTGTCCTGGCTCAGGGACCATAAGCCTCATTTACTTCTACTTGGCCATGTTGGCCTTTCAGTAACTTTTTATGTAATTTAGAACTCTGGTATTTTTGTCTCCTTCATATGAAAGAAGAGTCCTACAATTATAAGGAGTGATTTGTGTCTGTTCATTGCTGTTGAAAGATTCAAAGACCAGTGAACCAATCTGCATCTTTAAGCTATCAGCCAACTTTTAGTTGCATTCTGCCCATGGATGGAAGCTTTTAACACAAATCATATACAATAGTCAGGTTCTGTGGAATTCAGAATTTTAAGAGGATCTCTTAAATCACCCTTCTGCAGCCCTGTTCTTAACAGATGCCTCGCATGTCCACAAGCCTCATCCATTCTAGTCAATGGCTAAGAATGCTGGGATTTGTGGTCTAAACATCTGAAGGGCAGTAGATGGAGAAGATTGTCCTAAATTATCAGCTGCCTCTACCTTGCAACAGCCAAACCAAGAGAACCACCATGATCACAACCACCATGTCAGCTTTATTTTCTTTTATATTGTATCAGTGGTTAATTCTTAAGATTCTCCTAAAGATTTTTAGTTGGCATTCCCACAATCATAAGGCATAGTAGGTAATTTAGCAAGGATGATTATATTAGAGGGTTAAACAAATCTGTTCAGCTATGTAGGAAACCATCATGAAGAATTTTTCATGATAGTATATAGATAATATATAATAAAGAAAAAATTGTTCTCTCCCTCTCTCATGAATTCATCTCCGTTTTGGTTTTATGATTTTCACAACTGTGTTTGTAAAACTTACATATTAAGCAAATAGAAACCATTTACCAAACATTTGAATATCAATCTGATTTTAGGTGTGAAGATTGTAAAGAACAAATAAATTATAAGAAGTTCGTTGATGGTCTGAACTGGAGAGAGCATCCAATTCCAGCTTTTCAAAACATTTTGATACCTCTACAGGTAAACCAAACTTTGTTTTGGACTAAAGGGCTGCACAAAAGTTCCAAGAATTCAAAGTTATACTTGCTGAGGATATAGAATGGCATTTGTTCATTGAAAAAACTGCTTCTATTCATAAAGTGTAGTAGTTTTACTTTTGCTTTTACAAGCTAATTGTGTTGTATGAACAAGTACTTCCTTCAGAAGCTCTTGAATGGAAAGGAGTTTTTGTAGCCAAAGCATAGACTAATACTTGGTAATGCATGAAATGAAAATAACCACTTTCCATGGATTTTAAAACTTAACTGCAATTATATGAATATTACTGGCCACATCTTAATTGGGAATTAAAACTAGTGACAGTTGGAACAGGACTATGCTCTTTGAGAAAAGTGTTCATTTAAATATACATGTGGCATTCATATCTGATGCATGCCACATGTTACTAGCAACTGAATATATCAACAAGTGAAGAAATGACCTCTTTCTAATATACTGCTGCCTGACATCAGAATTGACAGTAAAATCTTGAAAGTGCATTTATGTTTCAGGTGCTGAAATTAATATCACTAAGCATATTTTAATGGAGATGTGAGGCTAAGGGAAATAAATTTGTTGATATCAAGGAAGGAATGGAATTTGTATCCCCTGTTGGATCTTTGAACAATATCAGTTATATTTTCTCTTCCATGGTGCTTTAAAATAGAGTATTTCTGGAATGTTAGATTATGATGTTTGATACAGAGAAATTTCAGTCTGTATTTTTCATTTACTGACTAAATTTGAAGAGTTTTATTTAATTCAACTGCCAGTTTCTAAGCTAACAAGTCCTAGAAAATAAGTGTTCTCATCACTGGCTCTGTAATTTTGCAGATCTAGTTTGCTACCCTGAGTTCATATTTCCCAGCTGGATTAATTTCTAGCAGAAGAAACTAAATGATTGATGTCTTCAGATTCCAATGGCCTGGCTTAAAGATGATGACTTTCCATTCCTGACAGCTAGCAAACCAACAGAACCCTCAATAGTACATTAGAATAGTCTAGTCTGTCTTTATAATACTATTGCCAAATGCAGGTTCCAGACCCATCTATGGGATTAACAAATACTGTTGGTCCAAGGCTACTGATTAGTAGGTGTGCTTGATGGAATTAATCTTTGTTGATTCCAACATGAATTGCTCTGCTCAACATCCCCCAGACTAATGTGTGCATTGAAGCTTTTTTATCCATCAGTTCTTGCATTGTCTGAATGTTCAGATGCAGTGCTTGATTCAGTAATATTAAATATGTTCAGTAAGTCATGTCTGGGTAGAAAATATATGTGTATTTAAAGGCTTTATTTATTTATTTATTATTTAAAACTTTTATCTGCTGTCCCCTATGCACGGTATCTCAGGATGGCTTACAATATTTTATTTTATGCATGCTTTTACAATATTACTTTATGCATGCTTTTTTCAGAATCACGGATGAGCACAGAAATGGGTGGAACCTTATTTATAGGTGAACACATGCAGAACTGATACGAACCACAGATAGATACACCTACTAACAGTGAGAATTAGACATTAGGAACTAGAGGAAAATGTTGAGGAAAACATCAGATTAAAATATACGATCATGCCTAAATTCAAAATTTGGGTTTGTGAAAAACAAAAGGCATTACAATAAGACTTTCTGAAGTTTGGGTACAACTCAGAATAGCTCATTCTTGCATCCCACCCCCACACTTTTATTATGGTACATTTTGGGGCAGATGATGTAACGATATTGGGATCCCACTTGTGGTTTGTAAAAACTCACTTGTGTTCTTCACATTTTCTAAGATTTTGCCTGCCTTCAAATCTCTTCAAGGATTCCTGTCTTGGTTGACTTTTGTTTCCATCCCATCTGGAGCACTGCATGCCTCGCACTGCATGGCATGCTTTCTTCCTGGCTGTAGCCGTGTCTTGGAAAAGAGGTGGACAACACTCAGCTTAGGGGAGACAACATGGAGCCCTCCGTGGCTTCCCTGCTGCCACTCTTACATAGATGAAATGCAGTACTGTGATGGCAAAAAAAAGGCACAAAATTCAGTAGCAGACTGCTATGGAAATGCAAAGGTGCCAAATCTAGCATCTTTTCCAGGCAAATTTGATCCGTTTGAGTCTCCATGGTAATTTGCCACTAAATTTCAGATGGTACAGTAGTAAGAGAATTCCCCTGGTAGAACTGAGCAGCCTCTTTAGAAGAAAAGAATTCATGACACCAATAGGCTATCTTGGAGGCATCAAATTAAATTTAACTGTAACATTGTCAGTGTCAAAGGTGAGTTTATGCTACTGAAGTTTTTATTTGTTTCCACCCTTGTTTAGAGGGACCATTAGACTTTTGATGTGGTTATGTTGTATATTCCATTTGCAGGAAGATGTATTTACAGAAATAATAGCTGCGCCAATTCCTTTTTCCTTTCAGCATACAAGTCTAAACTTGTTTTCACTTCCTCTTCCCTTTTTTAGTATGAAGACGAATGGACTGGGCAGCCACCCACCCTTCCAGTGAAAAAAATCAAATACCTACCACTAATAGAGGATGTCTTTGGCATCAAAGATTAGCATAGACCACACATTGCACCTCTTATGAATAAAAGTTGTGATTTCCTTTCTCTGGAGCATTGCTGTACATTTTGATTTAAACAAAATAAAAGAATCATAGTTATAGATTTTTTGGGGGAATGTAAGTTTTATTTTTTACTTCAATGTATATGCTCTTATTTCATTCATATGCTTTTTGTAATTCTTTCAGACTCCAATAGACTGTACTGTAATGCAATATCACAATTAAAATAATTTAAATGTACCTTTATCCTCAGTTGTTATATGTGGAAAGGACACTAGTTTCCATCAGTTTTAGCTAAGGATTTTACTCCTGTCCTCCAATGTAATCAGACTCTATAACATGCTCTTTTCATTGTGCTGGATGAGGCTAGTTCAGTTGCTAGTTCAGATGCTGACAGGTCACTTGGTTTCTGAAGCCTTGCAGAGAAGGGGAAATCTGACCATTCATTGCTCTTAAAAGTCACAGAAAACTGCAGTCCTTGGGTTTGGGAAGACTTTAAAATTAATAATTTTGATCACAGCTCATCTTACATGCACTCACACGCACATGTGCACGGATGCGTGCGCACACACACATACAGAATTATATACCATATGAAGAAGTCGACTTCCTGAAAGACTTGCGGAAAAATCTGTGTAAAGGTTAACTTCCAAGCTTCTTTGATAACTATATTGGAAGGACCATCTTTCTTCAAAGTTACCAACAAAGTCAATTGTAACAAGTAACAAAGAAGAATAAATAGAAACTTGCACACCAAGAAGAAGAAGCTAGAAACCTTCCCCTTGTTCTATATGAGCAGGGAGGGTTACAAGTGGAAGACAAAGTTGGCTGTGATGCATGTAAAATTCCATGAACAAGATAGGGTGACCCTAAAAGTCTAATTTAGAAGAAACCAAATGGCCCGGAATTGCTTGGTGTTTCTTTTTGTCTTGCTTTGTCTCCCTCTGATTTCTTGTATCTGCTCCCTTTAGGGCACTGTTTTATTCATTGCTGTTGTTTTGTCAACATGGAATTTTATTTTTAAATAGTTACAAAGAATGACCACATCTAACAAGATAATAAGAGACAGTTTTTATAATGGGTAGGATAAATCAGCCTAAGGATATGTATCCGTCACCAATGGGTGGGTTTGCATGTGTAAGTTATCTAGTGAAACCATAGTCAGAAAAATATGTATTCATCTGTGTTTGGCTGGAATGTGATGAGAAATTTGAAGGGCTTCTAAACAGGAAATAAATAGAAACCATCAGTGTTTTTTGTTTTTTGTTTTTTTTGGTCATAGAACGCACCGGAACAGAGTTCCAGCACCTTTTTTTGACAGATTTTCCAAGTTTTAAAAGTAACTTTTGAAAATATGATGTTTGGTCCATGTGGATTTGAATTGCCCTGTTGAGCATAGCAGCTCAGCAGCAAAATCATTAAAACGGTGCATGCAGGCTGCTTGTGTGTTGAATCTGATGCTTGCGTACTTCGCACTGGTTGTGATGGCACTGCTCGGCTTGTGATTGGTCATGTGGTTGCGTGCTGAGTGCTTACTGCGGGCGGTGACCGTTATGTTTCATTACACAACTGACACGTGTGGGTGTGTGTACAGTGACTGACTACGTGCGAAAGGTAAATTCATGAGTTCCGGCACCCTTTTCTTACAAAAAAAGTACTGGAAACCATTATATTTGTGCTTCTTATTGTGTGTGCTTGTACCTGTATGTATCAAGTATTAGCCACTTAGAGTTCACAGTGAAAAGGCAGAATAAGTCTTTCATGATGATAGCAACACCAACAACCCTGTGTTGTTGGTTAGACAGATTATGCTACATCCAAGTTTTTTCCAATGAGTTCTGGTAGGATTCAGAATGTGTTTTAACAGCCTAGCCTCTGCCTGGCTCACCAAATTATTTGCTGTAATCCTCCCATAAATTCTAGCTGGCATGAAACATAGTCAAGGAACATGGGTGTTATTGTCTAAAACATGTGAAAGGCACCAGACCAGTTTCCCTAATAAATATACCCAAGCAACCATGCCAACATGCATTCTAGCTTGGCTCATCTTTGCTGCACACTTTATGACATCTGTAGAACTTTGGCATAGACGAGATCCCAAATTCACTGGAATTTGGAGAAATTAAATTGTATTTCCAAAGAACTTTGAATTGGGTCTGTATCATTCCATATGCATCCATTAAAGCAAACCCCCATTTTCTGTAGTATGCTAAAGTGCTGGATAAGATTAAATATACTCAAGATTTTAAAAAGATGAGTTCCTGTTCATAAAGATGAGCTGCTATGTTTTATAATATTATAAAAACATTGTATAAATGATGAAAGGTGGTGATAATGTAGGGTAGTATATATGTTCAGTTGCAATATAGGTGAACATATTGTATATTACTGTGCTACTTTATTCACAATATAAACAGAACTAGCAATTAAATTCCCATTAGGGTAATATATGTTGGTAATGGTGATAAACTGTAACTACCACACCATAACTAATGTGAACTGTATAGGAAGTATATAATTTAGAGACAATATCCCCATTAGTAGAGTTTATGGCTCAATAAACAACTCCCCCCCCCCGCCCCCAGCTAGGAAATGCAAAGCCATAAACACCAATGCTATTAATGCAGCAAGATTTCAGTTCCTTCTTTTGTTGGTGGTCTTGATATACCAAAGAGAAATGCTATCTCAGGAAAAAGAAACATTTATGCTGCCTGTATAAATAGCAATGAATTCTTTCAACCCACTGAGATTTCCTATCTTCTCCATGACCCAGGTGGTCTGCTAATAGTGATGCATTCAGCTTTCAACTGCAAGTGATAAAGATGCAGATAAATAGACAAATCAGAAATGAACAAAAGAATCCATTTATGTGGGTGGCATCTTCGTCTTGTCTTTTTCCTCTGGAAAAGTATCAAATTCCATTTTTTAAATCAATATCAATTTAAACTACATAAGTTTATAAAGATTGATAATAAAAATGAATTGGTATATTCCCTTTAACCTTTCTCCTACCAGACTTCTCTCTCTTTCACTGAGCAATAAATCTTTGTGGCTGAAATATTGCCATCATTGTCAACCTGAAGGTTAATTCACGCAATCCCTTTATAGCAAGAATTCCCTTTTTGTTTAGAGATGGGGGAGGGTGATTAATGAAATCATCTGAAAAGAGAATCAATCTTTCTCTGATATGTATGTATGTATGCATACTAAAACCCATGACAATTCAACTGCCAAAGTTCATTCTTCTAGCACCCAGTTAGTTAGGAATGCAGTGGTACCAACAAACACCATGATGTGTAGAAAAACATCCATAATGTTGATGGGCTTGTTTTGCTGCTCACCCAAACTAGCTGAGAGCCTTACCAACTGCTCTAACTTAATTTGTACAAGAAAGCTTTAGTAACATAGAGTGTTCTAACCCATCTGCTTCAGCTACAAATACTGTCAGTACTCAACACTAACCTTTTTGACTGCTTTTACCCCTTTGGCTGAGCTTGTTTATAAGAAATTAGCTTTCCTTTAAACGGCTATTGAGATTCATGTTTTTGACCTCTGAGGCCCCCCTGGCCTTTAGAGTGTTCTTATCTTTACCACAGAGGTTGCTCTCTTAGCAGCCAAAGGATTAACTACTTCAAGCCACCCAGAAATACCATCTTTTCATAAGTCTCCCGACACCACCTGGAAGTGTGATTTAATGTACAAAAGTTTAAGTTCATTTTTATTCTGTTTTTGTTCAACCCCCTTGGTTTGAGAATGGTTGTATCTCTCCAAAAAGTTGTCCCCAGGAAATGCTACAAATGGATGTGCTCCCTTCCTGTACATTAACACTGACAGATGTCATCTTAACAGTTCCCAGTGACTTTACAGACACAAACCACTTGAAAGGTCCTTACACAAACAATTCATGTGACACATTTTTGATGGGATTACCCAGTGCATGTCGGAATAATGTGGATGGCCAAGAAGCAACCTTTACGAATCAGATACAGTTTCCCCAAGCAATTTTATCTGCCCTCTCAGCACAGCTAAATACTAAGTCTGAAATGGCAAAAAGTCAATCAAGGTTTCCAATTAAAAATGGACAACACATTTCACTGTTACACTGAGTAAACTGTAGGTTGGGTAAAGCTTTTGGCAATATGTCCTTGGTAGGACAATGACCTCTTCCCCTGAGACCTAGGGCACTCTTACTCTGTCTAAAGTGTATGCAAATAGTAAGGGGGTGAGTAGGAAGCTAATATTTAGAGACTGATCCACCTGTTTCCAAGAGGAAGCATGGTGGTAGGGAATCCCTTGAGACTGTTGCTAAAGGACTGACTCCTTAGAGAGGGAGGGGGACACCTTGGACCCAAATACACCTTTGTCTAGGTGCAAATTTAGAAACAACCTGTTTAAATAGAAACATGGTGCATATCACCATAGCAGAGAAGACTAACTAGATGGCCTGTGTGCCCACTCATTCTGCCATCCTGACATAAACTTTTGATGAGTACCTTCTTTCTTTTCTTTCTTATGGTTCTTTGATTTTAAACCGACTTAGCTCATAGTTCCTGAGCTATAAACTGGCAGGTAAATGAATCAGTGGAAGAAAAACGTTGCAGTGAAACCAGAAGAAATTAACACCATAATAGTCAAGTCTGATTTTACACAAGCCAACTTTGTATCCGTGGCACAGAGCAGTGGCAGCATCATGTCTGTTCTCACTGGGCATCAGCATGGTGGTCTGCCCAGTCCAGCAAGCAGATCAAAGTCTAGCTAATGTCCTAGGTGGTGTTCTGTTTGTATGCACCAGATAGAACTCTAGAAATGCAAAAGTCCTGGGGCCTCCAAATGAGATTTGATTACATATGGATGGAGATGTTTTGATGCAGGGGTTGCCAACACTTTGGACCTGTATGCACATTTAAGAATGTGAAAAACAGCTATGGGCACCACCACAAAATGGCTCCCATGGAGGGTGTAGCCAGTCCCCTGCTATGGGGCGTGGCTAGTTAAGAGGTGTGTATCCAGTGGGCGAGATAAATATCAAGGCTAGAGGCTAGGAGGAAGAGGAAAATAGAGTTGCTTCCTGACCCATCTGATCTTCCTTTCCCCACACAAACATTTTCTCTCTCTCCTCCCAATCTCTAGCCATGTTCTTTCCTTTCCCCATTCCCCCCTGTGTTTCTCCCACCCTCATCCTTTACCTTTTTTCTCTGCCTTCCTAGCCTCTAACCTTGCTCCCCCCTGCCTCCCACACTTTTGTTTTTCCTCACCACTCCCAGTCTCTGTATTTCTCTCACGTAGCTCTTTACCTCTATTATTCCCACTCCTTGACTCATTTTTTCTATCCTTTCTTCCCTTGTCATCTCTTTCTGCCTGCTAAGTGGGCAGGTTCAGGAATAGGAATGAGAACCTACTTCACGGACAACTTTCAATTTTTATTTTCAAAAATACACATCTTTGAAGGGGACAGGAAGTGCAAAGCTGTGCTGGAAGCACTGGTGGTTCCTGTGGGTGTTATGGTGGCACCACACCTGCTGGCACTGCATTGGCACCCCCTTAGGTGAAGACACAGATTCGGAGCCTTTCATCCAAATGCTAGAACTTGTCTGCAGCACCATGGGCTGCACATAGCCTTGCTGCTGCCGAAGTAGTGAAGAAATATTCTAGAAGAAGCTGAGCTGAGCGTTTGTCTCATTCATATGGAAAGTCTGCTGCTTGAAGAAATGTTGGCTTAGGCTGAAACGACCCCATGCGATTCATAGGGCAAAGGACAAGAAGTAGCTCCCTCCCATTCCACCCAAAAAAAGCTGACTGGGCTTGAAATGGAATCTTTCTCCAGCATTGGCAATGGGGCAGCAAGTTCTGCCCCACATGAAAGCATCAGGCTAATTTGGTGGCTCAGGGTTAGCCGCCTCCCAGAATTTGCTACCTGAGGTGACTGCCTCACTCTGCCTAATGGTATGGCTGGTCCTATTGAACACAATGACAATGGAAACGAATGGAAAAGAGAACAAAGCCTGCTCTACAGTTTATGTTCCTAGTGGTATAAACCACCAGCTGTGTTTCATGCAGAGCCTCTGAGCATCAGAAGGTTGGTAGCCCTGGTATTAATATCCTGGTGAATGACCTTTACTGCCAGCTGAGCAGTTTGTTGCTTTTCTAATGAGGCTGTGAGCAGCGAGGGGCTGTCTGGGCACTGGGGGCGAGGGGGGAGAACCGTGGCAGCAACTATTGATGCATTGTTCCTCCTTGTCCAGAAAGAAA